ACATCTCAGAACCATTCTTTGATTAAAAGGGAATGGGAAAGGTTCTCTTGCCCAGCAGGTGAAGCCCCAGTTCTGGAGGCTGTGGCCCCTCCAAGTGAGGCAGAGCACAAATCCAGCCTTAAGGGTGCCCTGCTCTTGCACAAAGACACTTCTTAAAAACCAGCCAACCAATCAACCAGACAGAAAAAGCCAAAAAAACCTTCTGAGATTTGTATGCAAATACCTCTGAGAGCATTTTGTGGTTGATTGGTGAGGCTTTAACTCATTCTATAAAATTTGGAGTCCTGACTCTGTGTTTTCTCCTGTCTCACCACACAAGTGTGTCCTTTGAGGCCACTGCTGCTGGGGTTCATGTAGTAAAAAGCTTCAAGTGATTGATTTAAAGATTCACTTCTAAAAACCTCTGACAAGACAATTCTCATCAGAACCAAGAAAAAGGAACTCTGGGAGGTCTCTTTTGCTGGGGTTTGGTTTGGTTTGTTTGTTGTTTCCCCAATGCTCCCTAAACATAAAAATTAGAATATTTTCTGAAAGAAAGATTGGTTTCAGGGACCTGCAGTTCCTGATTAATTCCACTTGGGAAGAGTATGAGCTCCATATGAGAATGAGGGGAAGAGCAAGTACAAAGGAATATTAAATGTGTGTCTGTCTTGGAAAATCTGCAACTGTGTTCTTTTGCAGGGGTTACCTATTGCTAACAGGAATATCTGAGAACCAGGAATACACAGAGTAGGATAAAGACTTGTTTACTTTGTGTACAGTTAGATATTCTCACCCTCTACCTAACTAAAAAAAATCTAGTGGTAAAAGCTTTAATCACATACTCAATTTTAAGCACAAGATAATTTTTGGTGTTACTAATTCTGAGCTTCAAAAGGAAAAAATAAAAGATGCTCCACTTCCCCAAGGTTCTGGGGTATCCCCCCTCCCAAATAAAACATAGATAGAAATGTATATAAAACACAAATCCAGCAAAGGTTGTACCTGAACCCACCCTTAAATCTGCAGTGGCAGAGCTTTCAAATGATGGAAGTTTGTGTGTGTAAATCTGTGTCTGAGAAGATCTGAGACCACCTTGCTAACTTCCCCATATTTTCATTTTTGGTAGCTTAAAGGTTTGCATATTAAACAGGTGCACATATTTAGCGTGCATTTAAATGAATTTCATCATTTGATCAGAATAAACAAAATGCCAAGTTTTAATTTGCAGGGATTTTTGCTCTATTTAAAGCTGCAATGTCTTTCAAAAGAGATAAGAGACTCACAGACCTCACTGGCATCCACTAACGGTGACATCCAGCAATTTGTACTTTGTTATTACAAATAACACCCTGATGGCTCACTAGGGAAACTTTAATATTGTATCAAATATTCCCTTGTACAAACTGCTTTTAATTAAGGGATTCCACATCTCTGAATGGGCCATATTTGTAAATAGCTGCTAATTACATGTAATAACTTGCTGACCTGTTCCACAAACCACTCTAGGGGTGGGTGCATTCCACAGGCAGATTTCTCTTTAAGCAAGCACTTAGCTCTGAATCAAACATGAGTTTGCTCAAAAATACTAGAAAAACATTCCATTAAAAAAAAAAAAAATCCAAAATTTTACTATAAACCTGCAGGAGACATCTCACAGATTGGTAAGGTGTCACAATGAACTTTGTATTAAAAATTAGTTAGACAATTAGTAAAGAGCTGCATAAATGCTCTGTTAAATTAGACTGACATATCAATAGAGCATCATGTGATTCCTAATTTTTAATTAAGTATTTATTGATATCTGACTCTCTCCACTTTGGGCACCCAAAATGCCACCTGAAATATCCCAATTGTTGCAACATCCTGAGCAAGTTTCAAGAACTAGACCCTGTTTCCCTCCCATACTCTCAAGGTTTTCCCTTGATACTCCCCATAATATATTTACATATATTTTTAACAATCCTGAGGACTGGGAAAGGCTTCAAAATCAGAAGTACAATCATCCCATTATTCCTTTTCACCCCATAGGAAGAAGAAAATGGGGTTTGAGCTGTTCTGAGCAGCTCAGAGGAAAGCAGCCAGTCCTGTGTGCCCACACACATTTTAAGCACAGAGCTGGAGAGCAGCCCTAGGTGAGCATTTTGCAGCTGGGATTTCCTCAAATAATGCCAATTCACAAAACCATCCCCCATTTCTATGAAATTTGGATTAGGAAAAGTTTTACAGGTTCTTGAATTTGAGCAACCCACTGTAAATACCCCATTTAAAAATAAAACCATTTGGGGTTTCACTTGATGGTGGTTTTTTCACTGCCATTCATAAATTTGTGTCTTTGTATGAATAAATCCAAACTTTCCCTAAGTGTTACAATTTCTGATTTAATATCAGCAGACATTCTGCTGTGGTCATAAAACACCAACAGTCCAGAATAAGCACTTTAAAATCCCAATCTCTAATTGCCCTCTGCTATAGAGATCCTTATCTCTAGGAGGTTTAACAAATCACTCCCTGGCTTTTATTTTAGAGAAGAAACGTGGCTATAACCACGAGGAGCTCTGGACACCTGTTTTATCTCTCCAAATGCAAGGTGACAAAGGCTGGAGCAGATTCTGCTCTCTCCTATTAATTAACTTCAGCCCATAAACGAGTGAGGCCCTTGTTAAGACACAATAACATCCAATTCTTGCTTTGCTGCAGTGGAGAGTAGAGAGGGAAGATAAATTGTCTATTTAAATTTTATTAGATCTTTCCTCCTAGAGTGCTGGCTCCAGCATGTGAAGGAAACATTTAGCACAGCACAATGAGCTGCTCCCAGTTTCCTGCTCAAATGGAGAAATTCTATCCCAGGCAATCATTCCCTGCATGAAAAGCTGCTTTGGGATTTTGGGGTTTTGTGCCCTGCTCAGTGTGGAAATGAGGGAACCTGGGCTCAGGAACCTCCATGGCTTCATTTCCCCTGCTCCTGCTCTGGAGTAGTTGGGGCTGTTGGGGTGAAACTTCTCAGGCCAAACTTCCCAAGACAAAAATAGGAAAATATAGAAAAATCTCCAAGATTTTTCTGCAACTGCCAAAGTTGGAGCCTAAATAGCTTTAGCAAAAAATGAAGTTGCCCCTTTAAATCCAACAAAACTTTGGCTCTGCTCTTGCATGAAAACACTTTAAAAACCAATCAACCAGACATGAAAAAAGCAAAAATACCCTTCAAAGATCTGTCTGTTCAACAAATACTTCTAAGACTATTTGTGATTGTTCGATAAGATTTTAATTGCTGCTATAAAAGTCATGTCTGAATGTCTGGTGTGCAAATACTGAGGGGGTTTGCACTCAGGATGGAAAGGTCAAGCTTCCTTTTTCCTGCAGGAGTTCTGGAATTTCACCCCCTTCTCTTGTCTGCCTTTTCTCTGTCTGCCTTCCTTCCTTTTCTCTGTTGGCCAGACAGATAAGAGCAGTTTCTTCTCTGTTTGGCCAACTACTAAAACCTGTATAAGGAATATACCCAATTAGCTTCTGAAATGTGTGACAGGCTTATAAACTGAGTTCTACACATTTAAATATTCTTTTAATGCTGTAATAAAAGAGCTGCTCACAGTCCTGAATAAATAAAAATCTAGAAACAAGAGTTAGATCTTTCTGAGCAACTGGAATTATTCTGTTACTGAAGCCCTTCCTTATCAGCTGCCTCAAAGATTTTTCTTTCACTTCAGTACTTCTTCAGTAGATATTTTGCATCTTAAAGAAAATTGTCCCAGGATGTTAGGATTCAGAAATCTTTTCTTCTAAAAAAATTAGTTACCTCACCAATCTTGTTGTTTTAACTTGTCTAGGTCCCTCCTGCTTCAATGCTCTCCTGCCAGTGAATTTAGAGATAAAAAATCTACATCTAAATAAGACAGAGATAATAAATCTAAATAAGATAGAATAAATCTACATCTAAATAATACAGAGATAATAAATCTAAATCTAACTAGGATAGAGAGAAGAAATCTAAAGCTAAGTAAGACAGAGATGATATATCTAGAACTATTTCTATATATCTAATATATCTAAAACTATATCTATATATCTAATATATCTAAAATATATCTAAGATAGAGGGAATAAACTTAAAGAAGTCTTTCATCTTTCATGTAAAGTTTAAGCCTGGCATCATAAACTAGATTTCCTGTTTCTTGTTCATTCGTTTCCATGTCTTTCCTGGACTAGTCACAGAGAGTCTTCCTGGTGGAATGGTGTCATAGACATCTTTTATGAAAAATATTTTCTTTAGGATTTTTTCTCCTGAGAAGCTGAGAGGCCTCAGGAACAAAATGTACCCAATGGTTATCTGCTGCTGTGGAATGCAACAGGTGCAGTTGGGATTGGGCTCATGTGGTTGTTTCTAATTAATGGCCAATCACAGTCAGCTGGCTTGGACTCTCTGAGGCACAAGCCTTTGTTATCATTCCTTCTTTTTCTATTCTTAGCTAGCCTTCTATTCTTTTAGTATAGTTTTAATATAATATATATCATAAAATAATAAATCAAGCCTTCTGAACCATGGAGTCAGATCCTCATCTCTTCCCTCATCCTATAACCCCTGTGAACACAGTCACAGAATGCTCTGATATCTGAAAAGCTTTAGAATCATTAAAAGTCTGTAGTTTAGAAACAGTAGAAAATAAAACCTGACAGGGAGCCCTCAAATAAAATTAAAATCTCCTCCCAATGGGTAAAAAATTACCCTAAATTCCTATCCCCACTGCGAGTTAGCAAAGAGACAAAGAGAGAGCAACTCCTGGGGAGCATCTACTGTACACAAAGCAACCATGTCAGGGGGTTTGGAGCTGAGTGAAGTGGGAGCAGAGCCTGGGCAGGGGCACAGGAGCTGAGTCTGAGGCGACTCTGGCTAAGTTGGCATCTCTGAGGGTCGGGTGCAGTAAGAATTCACACTCACGCCCAGCCGCAGCAGCAGAGGTGCTGGTAGGAGAGGAAAGAGCATTGGATAACGATACGTGACTAGGGCTAGAAATATTGGTTACATCCTGGGTCTGGCTTGTGACGGAGGACTGTCTCCTGAGAGCCCCCTGAAAGGAAGTGCCACTCTTGAAAGTATTGACTACTTCGATCTGTAACGGAGGAAAGAACGAGACAAGTTGCTTAAAGTACGGACACAGTTGCATAAGTGACAGGAATAATCATGAAAAACAACAAATCAACCGTGCGCGCGCTTCTACTCCAGCTGGAATCCAAGTGCCCCCTTGGAAGGGGTTTTAGAAAGGATTCAAATTTTCTGTCTGGATAAAATGAGGCAGCTCTGTAGGAGGCAGTGGAGCTGCATCACTTTAAACAAGTAGAAGATTTGAAATAACAGGGTTTTTTTTTTAAAGTTTAAACCGTTTTATTTAGAGGTAAATAAAATCAGCTGGAAGACTTGATGTAACTAATCTCCACTCTTTTTTTCCTACTGAGATTCAAATTATGCTGTTATGTCTCTCCAGGGGGAGAAAAATTCAGTCACTCAGTTGGAATTTGGGGGATGGGGTTGGGGATGACTCTCAACCAAAACAGAAAAACTTTAAAATTCAATATATGACTCTATTTTGTCTACAAACCCAGGGTTGCCAGTACACTAGTTTGATAAAATAATTCTTCCACTATTTTAGCTGACTTTTTCTATAATGAAAATTTGTAAAAATTTAGCACAGTGATAAAGAACGTTGGGGTTTTGTAACTGGAGATTTAAAAGTATTAATATTTTATCTTTATACAGAGCAATTAAAAGCACCCAGAAAATGGTGTGGAACTGGATTAACTATTGCAGCAAATAACATGACAATTTTCCTCTTCTTTTCTTATGCCTGCTGTATTCCCTGTTTGACAGACCCATCCTGAGCACCTTCTTTTTCCTCCCCATCACAGAGGAGGAGTTAAAAATGGAGCTGAGTATTTCAAGGCATCCTTTGGCACCAGTAAAAACCCATAAAAAGCAGGCTCTGGGTACAGAGGGAAAGCCAGGAGGAAACCCCACAAATCCCTACACCCCAAAATGTCCTTTGTGTTGCATCAGTGCAACCACAACAGACAAAGCAGGGGAATATCCACGGGAGGAATTCAACCAACCACTGGTTTGAATAACCCACTGGTACCAGACCATGCAACCCCTATTTCTGGAGATTCCCAGCCTAGAAAGAGGTAAATTGGTGGCATTTTTATCAATTTAAACAGCACAAATCTTGGTGAAAATCCTCCTAAATTTTCCAAGGGGGAAGCACTAGAATGAATTTATGATTTTCTGCTGTGGTCAGACTTAGGAATAAACCAATTTGCATCTTTAATAATATGGATGTTTTTCCTTCCTAATCTTTTCTTTGGCCAACATTTTTTTATTTTCCTGTGTGTTTTTATGGCAATAATCAACCACAGCCAGCTGGAAAAGGGATCCCAGGTTACTGCTGTGCAATTATCACGGTGAATTTTCCTCCACAAAGCCCAGGTTTGCTCTGTCTGAGCCCCGGTGCCATTTCTCTGTGCACACCCGGGGCTGGGCAGTGTTCAGCAGTCCCCACAAGGGTGGAGAGCTTTGTTTTTGGCAGCAGAGTTACATGTCCAGTGCAAATCTCACAGGGAATCCAAGGTGAATCACAGTAAATAAAATGTGAGGTGAGTTTGCACATGGGGCAGGGCACGAGGGGATCCTCAGCTCAGGCTCATGGAAACACCACATGGCTCAAACCACTGGTGATGTGGCACATTAAATACTCACCTGGAATCTCCTACAAAAGTAGAATTAAATACAGATCTTGGCTTCTCAGGGTCTAACCCAGGTGACAGAGCACTCTTCAAGAGAGACCATTCAAAAAAAGACTCTAAAGACTCTCACTGAGGGCATGAAATGAATATTTCTGTGCTAAACCCTGAGATGGGCAAAAGCCTTCCTGACAAACCGGGAGCTTTTGGTACAAGAGTGAAAAGATGAGGGAAGATCTGTATTTAATGGTTTCTTCAGAGAAGAAGAATTACAGCCATGTAATTTGCTTTTCTCCTGAAGAAATGAACTCCAGCTGTTCATGGATATAATTCCTGGTGGGAGGATGACAACCTCCCCAGAATGCTAAAAGCTGAACATACAGGGCTGTGCTCTGCCTGAAGCCAAGAAAGAAGAGAAGAACTTGGCCCAAAAGTTTATCTTCTCCAAGCAGAAAATCACAAAGAAGAAAAGAGCTCATGGAAATAAACAGTGCATTTTGAATTGAGATGGAACCTTTTCATGACAAAGGAATGCATTGATTTAGAACAATTCAAGCTGCTAAAGAGGAGAAAGGAAATAAAAATTCATAAGTTTAAAAAATTTCCAACACAATATAGGATGCAATCATGTTTTGATTATAGGCCTTCAGGTAGAGGAAAAATACTGTCCTACATTTGAAGCTTATCCATAAGGTTGACATTTTTCACACCTGTCTCATTTTTCTCTATGTTCTATACTCTAGAAGATCCAATTTTTTAGGTGTGCACAGCAAATAGAAATATCAGTGATTAAAAATTATAAAAAAATTCTGATAGTAGCAGAATAGTCCTGGCAGAACAGATACTTCTTCCTGATTTTTAACACAGAACAGATTTTGAGAAGCATTTCTGTTGTCATTTATGTGAGTAGGACCCAGGTATCATTCCCCTAATCTCCAAGCAGAATATTAATTTAAAAGTTAAAAAAAAAAAAAAAAAGAAAAACCACCTTTCTGTAAGAAATAAAACAATTTAATGGAGCTACCACAATGTTTTCTATATTAAAAGCTACATGGAAACACTAAAATGAGGTGCTGGCTTTTTATCCAACTTGAGAACCTCTTGCCAGGAGTGACTTTCACTGCTGGAAGGTTTGAATTGGTTCAAAGGAAAAGTTTTCATGTTTTCTACATGAAAAATGAAGGGTGAATAATGCAGTCCAGCACCTCTGTATGGTTTTTTAGCATTTTTTAGTATTTTAGCCTTTGTGGTTTTTTGAAGAGGAACAATCTTTAAGCAGCAGTTACCCTGTCACCTGTATCCTTTTCAGCTTTTCCTTTTATTCTCAGAACATTCCAGGCAGTTGTTTCCCACCTGGGGCAGATGAAGCAAACTGAATTTCAGGATGAATGAAGCAGAAGAGGAAAGAATCAAGCTGGGGGTGTAAAATTCTGACAAACATAAGAAGTTTTTGAATCTCCACTTCAGAATGTTTCCATTCTCAGATGTGAGGGAACTGGAGAATCTTTCAGTACACAATCAAAAGAGGTAAGATGCATCTTTTTTTCTCTGTTTTTTAAACTCAGATTATGAAGTCTGGCCTGAAGGTGAACCTGGTGAACTTCCCAAAGGCTTTTAGACCTGCCAAGAGGGTGTGATCACTCTTGTCTTCCTTCAGAATGAAGAATTTCTGAGCAAGACAACAAAAACTTGGGGAAAATTGCAGAAAACTGTTGGCAATCCTGTCTGTATGCGATTTTAGATCCTCCTCAAACTTGCATCTCTAAGATAAGGCATTTGTGAAGCTTCACCACTCAGTGGCCATCTGAGAGAGCTTTCCAGGAAGGAAACTCTTCCATTCAGAGAAGGGAAGCACACATCCCTCCAGAGATTCCCTACTGGATATTTATCCGAGATCCCTATTGGATATTTATCAGAGATTCCCTGTTGGATATTTATCAGAGATTCCCTGTTGGATATTTATTAGAGATTCCCTATTGGATATTTATCAGAGATTCCCTATTGGATATTTATTAGAGATTCCCTATTGGATATTTATTAGAGATTCCCTACTGGATATTTATCCGAGATTCCCTATTGGATATTTATCAGAGACTCCCTATTGGATATTTATCTGAGATTCCCTATTGGATATTTATTAGAGATTCCCTATTGGATATTTATCAGAGACTCCCTATTGGATATTTATCTGAGATTCCCTATTGGATATTTATCAGAGATTCTCTATTGGATATTTATCAGAGACTCCCTATTGGATATTTATCAGAGATTCCCTACTGGATATTTATCCGAGATTCCCTACTGGATATTTATCAGAGATTCCCTATTGGATATTTATTAGAGATTCCCTATTGGATATTTATCAGAGATTCCCTACTGGATATTTATCAGAGATTCCCTACTGGATATTTATCAGAGATTCCCTATTGGATATTTATCAGAGATTCTCTATTGGATATTTATTAGAGATTCCCTATTGGATATTTATCAGAGATTCTCTATTGGATATTTATCAGAGATTCCCTATTGGATATTTATCTGAGATTCTCTATTAGATATTTATCAGAGATTCCCTATTGGATATTTATCTGAGATTCCCTATTGGATACCTTGTTCATATCTAAATGAACAAAAGGAGGCTAAAAAGAGCATCAGTTGATAGCCAGTCTCTGGCCTAGTTATGTGCATTTTTCATACACCTTTCTTTTAAGTAAATGTATGCATGTCTTCACAGAAACAGAACATTCCAAGTGGAAATCCTTCCTCTGGTGCCTTGGGTTGAACCCTCTGTTTGAGAGAGGATGTAGATAGAAAATGTCTTTAACACTGCAAAATCTCTTGTCAGTTTGGATGGGTTTAAAAGGGAGCACTCCAAGGAAGATGGGTTGGTTGTCTGAAAATAACACCCAGCCTGTGTGGGTTCTTTGTTTCAGCAGTGAAGGCTTTGCTGGGAGCTGGGGCCACCTGGCCAAGAGTGACTGAAGAGAAAATAAGGACAAATAATCCAATTTACAGCACAAGTGTGGAAAGTGGTATTAGGATTGAATGACCAATCTGGTCCTGAGCTTCAGAGTTTCATCCTGATCTGCCATCCCCAGAGATATAAAATGAGGGGATGCTCTACCTTCTTCCTCCATGTCTCCAGGAGTGCATCAGATAGCAGAGGATTCCTAAAAATCCTCCCAGGGATGCTAAAGCCATCCCAGACTTTTCCAGGAGCTCTTCTTTTGCTGGCCCCGTGAGAAATGTGTTATAAGGGAATGAATCCACCTGGATGGGCCCCACACACAGCAAGGATCAAACTAAGTCCATCACTCTCCTCTGCACACCTGGGCACTGCTTTGGAATCTGTTGGCCCATTTTTTTTTATTTTTTTTCATTCCACAGATGTGAAATGGATGCAAAAAAAATCAAAGTCATTGAGTAAATAAAAGGAGAAGAAAAATCACAGAGGTCTCTTGGCAGAGAGGAGGGAGACATCCTACTAGAGGTGCTTCTACAACTAGGAGCAGAAAGGAAACCAAGATGGATGTTAGCAAAGAGACATAATTAATGTTCATTTGGGTTTAAGTAGTGCAAAAGAATAATTTCTCTGGGAATTAAGTGGACAAAGAGATGCAGAACTAAAAGCTACCTCTCAGACTAGAAAGAGAACTGGAAGGATGCCATTTGCTTTGTGCTGCTCGAAGGTTTTTACACTCACCCCAACCAGAAAGACATCCTGACAGAAGTGCCAACAGGCAACACTCCTCCTACAGCCACCAGGGAGAAAAGAATGCACATTTAGAGGTCATTTTTCCCTGAAGATCACCAGCACCTGGGAACTTTTTGTCACTACTGAAATTTGAATTTTCTCTAGTGATGAGTGCTCTTGACTCAATGGAGTCAAGACACACAAGCTCAGAGCTGAAGATCCATATTTAATCACTTACCACAGAACCCTGGGAATTCCCCCAGCTTTTAATCTCTCTACATTTTATGCTCTGCAGATGCAGCCAAGAGACCTCACTGCCCTAATTTGGCTTCTTTCCATCATTTTATTCTAAATTCATGGCTGCATCTTCCCCCCTCCCAAAAAAAAAGTATCAATTTGTAGATGTGAAAAAGCAGAATGTGCTGTTTATCTCGGATGAATACAAAAACCCCAAATCTTCTGAGACAAAAATGTTCTTTAGAAGATTCTTTCAAGAAAAAAAAGATCATTTTCTTAATTATTCACCTCTTTTTCTTGTCAGGCTCATGTAAAACACGCACATCTGATGTGGTGATAGCTGTTCTCTGCTGCAAGCTGCCAGAAATGCTTGATCTTAGAAAGATCAAGCAGAGCACACCTGAGTGCAATGAAACACTTCACTGCAATGGAAAAGGCAAAATACTTCACATGATTTTCTTCAGCACTCCAGGACAAATTTCACAGCTCCTTAACCTGCACTATATTTAGCAGCAGGATTCAGTGCAAAGGTCTGGTATACTAAAAAATGCCGTGGATTTTTGTGTTTGGCAAAAGTTGGGGAGAGATATTTCTCAGGAATCGTTCCTAATAGCCAACTCTTACACCTCAATATTTAATGGCTGCTTAATTCCTACTAAAATCCAGAACCACATTTTTCATTACCTAATGGGAAATAAAATCAATCCCTTTTAATCGTGATCGATGTGTGGCAGTGCCAGAACTGAACAGATTTATATTTTTAATCAAATTGTGCATCATACTTCAGACTCAATTTCAATTATTCTGTTAGTGCAGCAATGGCAGCAACAATGTATTTTTTTTTTTTTTTGGAGCAAATCAAGCAATACATTTTAGAAAGCTTTCATAACATTCTGCGAGCTGACGTTGGCCAAGCAGCACAATTTCATGAGCTGTCATCACTCTAGGAGAAAAAGAACATCCAGTCATGGTATTCCCAAATCACAGATCCCTGGTTTTGCATTTTATCCCTTTATATCTTTTCAGTTTATCTCTTCTGCTGCACACACCCCCTTTGCTCTGTTCCTTTATTTTGTTTTTCATGTTTTTCCTTCGAGAGCAATTAACCAGTGCCACCACACACACAAACACTCCGTGGCCTTCCTTTTAATGTTGTTTTGCCTTGATCTCACATTAATCATTTCTTTGGCTGTTTCTAGAGCTTGTGGGCATTTATGTTTAGCATACCTGGGTTTGGATTCTGTTGAGCCCTCGGAACCAGAGGATTTGTCCACGTCGGAGTTCTCTCTCTGCATGATCTATTTCTTCAACATCTTCATTGAGCTCTTCCTCAGGGACCTCCTCCTTCTCAGTGAGCCTCCCTGCCTCCTTTAAAAACTTTAGCCTACTTGTTGGGATGGTTGCAATGACCTAAAATTATAAAAAAGTACTGAAAACATAAGCCTCATTCAAGAGCAACAGTATAACAATCTGCTAATTACAGAGTAATTAGAGTAATCGTATTTTAGTAAGGTCCATAAAGGTGAGCTAAGCTTGTTCCTAACAGCACTTTGTACTTGGATAATTCCATTTTAGTCCCAAAAATATTTAATTTACTGTGTAAACAATTAGCATGACTTGCACCACTAAACCACAGTGTGGAGCAGATTTCCCAAAGCTGGAAAAGTCTTCTCAATAAAAGAAATTGAAAATAAAAGAAGATGGAAATATTTGAATGTAAAGAAAACTTAAGCAGATTGATAGCTCTGCAATTAGAGTTTGGGTATTTGTCTGGTAATGAGAGGTGAAAATTCATTGTGTCTCATGCTGACAAATCTTCTCACACTCCCTTGGTCCATGGATTCAGCTTCCCTCTGTTCCAGCAGCTGGAATGCTTTTCTGGCATTTATCAAAACTGAGTTTTCTGAAAGGGGTGGGTCTGGTTGTTGGATTTCTCATAGGGCTGTCTCTCACTCTGTGTCCTTACCACCAATAAATTCTGATTAACTTAACCTCTCTTCTTATTCTGCTTGCCCACCCAAGTGGTCCTTGGAAATAACTAATGCAGGAGAATAATCTTTAAAAATTCCAGATACTGTAGCTGGACAATTATTTTAAATCCATTTCAGTGTTACCCTGTTGGGCAGTCATTTTCTCTTTGTTCTGATTCCTTGCATAAAACCAGGAGCAAATCATGGCAATTTAAACAAGACATTACCTGGAACACACTGAATGCTTAAAGCAAATCTCCTGCAAAGCAAATTTTTAAACCCACTTAGCAAAAACTGCTGCAATTTTCCTTTTTGTCTTCATTTCAGCAGCGAGCAACCACAACTGTGAAGCTCAAATGTATGAAAAATGAAGAGAGAACCAAGACAGCTGCCAGAAAATTGGTGAGGAGAGCTTTGGAAAATTGGAATGGATGCAGTGAAGACACATGGAAATGTTCTGGATATTTTCAGGATGGAAGCAAACCTCTGAGTTTGCTGAGGGTCTCCTTGAGCTTCACAATCCACAAGGCCAGTTTTATTATAATGTTTTAAATACAGCTTGAAAAAAATAAAAACCAAACCAAAATAACCAAACCAAACCCAGTTTCTACACTACTATAAAACCTTTTTAAAGGGGGGGTTGAAAAACAGGATGCAAACCTGGAGAATTAATGGTGTGGCACAAGCAAAGACAGAACGGGAGAGGGAAAAAAGGGGAAATGCTCATCAATTAAATACTTACTGCAAGTCCTTCAGCCTCCCAGCTTTCAAACTACAATGCCAGCACTCTACAGAGAGAAACTACTGCAAACTCTGGGATCTGATGAAAGTGATGGTGATAAAGGATTTTTAAACCAATATTCATAAAAATAACTCTTCTGGGTCAGAATTGTGTGTAACAGAATGTTCCTCTCTTGCAGCACCTCAGCCAAGCTGATGAGACTCTGCTTTAATTCTTTCCTGAAGGTGTTTACATGGCCTTTTTTAATTATTCATTTATTTTCTGGGTATCTGCCAACACCCACCCAGTTCAGGACACAGACTCAATAGAGGCAGATTAAAGAACTGAATAATATTCCCAGGAAAATGATCACAGTTTTAATAAGTGATCAATAATTCTGGGAACAGGATATGAAATACTTTAGAAAGTCTTGGTTTTCAGAAGGGATGGGAGCTGTTAGAAAACTGTCCCTCCAAGCATCTCAAAATGACTTGCTGGAAACTTCTCCTTAAATTCCTTTCAGAAGTGTCTGCTTTGACACCCAGACTCTGAAATCTTGATTGCCTTTCATGGCTCAACAGAACAGCAGGTTCAGCACGTGGATTGAAAAAAAAATAAGAATAACAAATTTGTTTTGTGCTGAATGAGTCAGAGCAGCAGAGAAAAGGCAGAGACAGAAGCGAAGCATCACTGCTAAAGGAAAAGAATTCTCTCTCACTGAAGAGCTCATGAAGAAAGGCCTTGCCACAGACTGTAAATCATGTAAATATGGACAAAATTGATTGGTTTTAGCATCCCATTTTCTTTTCTTGTTACTAAATATTGACCACAAGACAGATATTTTTCCCTCTGTATTCGCTTTCTTCTCAGCAATAAAACTGTGCAGGTGTTCCAATACCAGTTTTAATTTAATGTCTAAGGTCTCACAATAAACCTGGGAAACCTGGGGCAAGTCAAGTGAAAAAAAGATGCTGATATTAGTATTACTTCTTGGTGGTTATGTAATAACCATGGATAACAAAATTTAGAAGCCAAAAAATTTGATCAAAGGCTGTGGGAAATTTTCACAGCTGAATGAAGAAGTTTGGATTCTTGTCCCTCTCCCTGTTTGACTTTCCCTTTCTCCAAAAGTTGGTATATCTTCCAAGCAGTAGGAAAAAAAACCCAATAAATCCTTCCTTTCTGAGATTATCAAACTGATTTTAGGTCTTCCTCCTACAAGGCCTTAAGTCAAATCCTGACCTCAAGTAAGAATTACAGCAGAATCATCTGCTAGTGATGGTTTTCAGCCAGATCTGCATTAAAAGCTGCTCTGATTCTGAGCTTATTTCTAAGGAAAACTGAGGCCAAACTGTCAAAAAAAGTTTGTTTTTTTTTTTTTCCCATAAGAGAACAAATAATCAGAATTGAAAGCAAGCATTTATTCACTACAATTGCAGTAGAACCACAGCAGAATTCAACTGCAGTGAGCAATTTCTTGACTCTTCATAGAGGCAAACTGTGGATCTACAAATCTCTCTACCTCTGAGAGAAAAAAATGTAACTTCACATTTTTCTTTACTGCACCAGGTGGCAACAACTGAAATACCCTGTTGGTGCATTCAGAGGTGAAAAATTATTATTATTATTAACTTTGCAACCTGTGTTTGCATGTAAAAGAACAATGTAGAATGTTAGCAATACTGATTGTGTGTGTGTATCACTTCCAGAGAGTTAATCCCAATTTATTGGATATCATCTCATTGACATTTGTTTCTTCATCAATACATAATTCTATATTAGCCATTGATGACAGAGGATATGGCAGAAATTGAAAAGGACCTGTTAATTTAACTGCCATTTTCTACAACTATTAAAGGCAAAAAAAATCTTTTGTTTTTTTGCACTCCCTCTTCCATCCTTCACACACAGAATTAGGTGGCTGGAGAATCACAGCAGAAATGTTTTGTAGGCACTGGAATTTTTCCTATGACAGTAGCCAGAATGACAATTTCAGCAAGGGAATGAGTTGCTTGACCTAGAACCAGAACTTCATTTCAGCTCCTAAACTTTGCCACATCCTACAGGAGGAATTCTATTCCAGGAAAGGTCACAGTGCATTTCCCTTTGCTGCATTTTTTTGTGATTAAAAGACTGAAGTTGTGACTCAACATCCTTCACAAAAAAGCCTAACTAAAGATGGCCCTGGTGATAGCACACCCTGCTAGAAAGGAAAGATTTGAAAATTAACAAAAAACCCCAAAGGAATAGAGGGATAAATTATCCTTTCTAATAAATCTCTCCTTGAAGCTCTCAGAGAGCACCTTGGGGTTCAGTGAGGGCTGCACTGGGCACTGAGAGAGGAAATCACAGGAATATCAACAATATCACACCTTTGAATGTGCAGCTTCCTGAATGCTTACCTGACCCCACACCAGCTCTCCTAATCCAATAAATACACACCACATCCACTGGTCCAGCTGCAGGGGAGAACAGCTGAATGGTTTTCCTCCAAACTGGACAATTACTATCTACAAAGAGAAGCACGAGGGAAAAGGGGTCAATTTTTCAGGGAGAAAAGGCAACAAAACAAAAACAAACGCAGCCAGACCAAAAAAAAATAATTAAAATAAATAAACTAAAAAACCAAAACCAAAAAAAACTGCTTAATTTTGGTCCCAAAAAACCCCCATCAAACCCCACAAACTTCTGCATGCCCAATTAAAAGAGATTTGGGGTTGATCAGCAGCAGTTCAGACTGAAGTTCCTCAGCCTCATATTTAACAGTGGTCAGATATGAATGGTCAGGAAAAAAGAGAACAGGACAGTCCCCATGTGCTCTCCCAGCTCCTGATTTATTGGATTTATTGACCCTGATCCAATTTATTTTGGAATGTCCATTGCAAGAGAGGCTTTTCCCTCTGAGTAACATTTTATTGTGTATTGACAGATGTGCATCATGGAGAGACAGAGGGTACAGAAATTTCTAGATCTGTTGGAGGAAAAGGCTGGGAGGACCCCACACTTTCAGCAGGATAGCAACACACAGAGTCTGAGCAGACTGAGAAGGTTTTGCTAACTGAAACTCAGATATTATTGATATTTCTTATTAATATTGCTGCTGCAAAATTGGGGACATGAAATCAACCCAGAGATTTAAATTGTCCAAGTTTTAAACTCATGATTTTGAATTAGATGTTAAAGACCATCACTGTGAAGTTCTGCTCCTGTCACTGCTGCCCTTCCTCCAATATTCAGTTTATTGAGGAGTTTCCTTTTTTAAATCACTGTGGCCCAAGCTCAAACTGCCCTTTCCTCCTCCTTCCTCCTCCCAGGAGAAAGGTGCCAATGCTGAGCTGCCACTGCAGAGCTGAGCAATAACAACGAGATAAAAATAGATTTCTAAATGATCATATCAAATAGTATCAAGTACAGGATGGATGCCAGCAAAAGAATGGATGCAGGAGAGAAGGGGGAATTCTTACAGAAGAAAAATTTGGGGAAAATGTGTATTAGTGTGATAATATTCACTTGTGATGGGACAGCAAAGTCAGGAGAGGAACATGAGGAATCACAATCCAGGGGCATCATTGCTGGGAATACTGAGGAGCACTGGGCAGTGACATTGAAAAGAAGAACAGTTCAGCATCAGCTGTTTGAAGGTATATTTGTCTTTTCAAGGAGTAAAAAATAATTGTAAAATGCTTTGTTGGTATGGTATTAAACAATTTCTTCTTTAAAAAACAGTTACAATATCAATGATGGGTATTATTGTCCATGCTAAGATTAATTTAAGAAATAACCCAGTTATAAGGATCAAAATTGAGGAATCACAATCCAGGGGCATCATTGCTGGGAATACTGAGGAGCATTGGGCAGTGACATTGAAAAGAACAGTTCAGCATCAGCTGTTTGAAGGTATATTTGTCTTTTCAAGGAGTAAAAAATAATTGTAAAATGCTTTGTTGGTATGGTATTAAACAATTTCTTCTTTAAAAAACAGTTACAATATCAATGATGGGTGTTATTATTGTCCATGCTAAGATTAATTTAAGAAATAACCCAGTTAAAAGGATCAAAATTTCTGTTTTATTAGCATGGCTACATAACATTTTCCATTATTAACACTTGTATTGATTGAAAAAATACATGAAACCAGGTAGTTTACTCTTAAATGGACCTCCTGCAGCACTTAGATTTAAAATTAAAGAAAAAAATGAAAACACGGAGAAGAAAATCCCAAAATAACTTTGTGTTTGATTTTTTTGAGTGGATTTGGGATGATTTGGGATGAAGAGCAAGTGATTCTTGCCCAGAGCTTTACCTGAATAGCAAAGGTGCCCAGGACAATAGTGCAAAAGATGGGGTTTCTGAAGATGCCGTCGAAGACGTTCCTCTCGCCGTGGATCTTGCGGGCGTTGATCTCGTTGAAGAGCTGCATCATGACAAAGGTGTTGAAGATGATGGTGTAGTGCTCAGAAGGAGGGGAGTGAAGAGGGGCGTTCCTCCCACTGTCAATCTTAAACATTTTCTCACCTAGGTGGAAGACAAAAAGAAAAGTTTCCTCTAGAATGAAGCAATCCAATTTATATTCCACTCGTATTCTTCAGCCTGTTGCCTTCTTTGCTCTGCTTTTTCTTGATAAAACTTTTCTTGCACCAATGAGCAAAACACATCTCAGCTGAGCAAGAAGCTGTTCAAATGCTGACTCTTATCTAGCAATACCTAACTCCTATCTAACAACACCTGCACAACCTTGTCAGTCCTACTCTTACCTTCCCAAGTAGGAATTATTCTAAGCACTCAGTTCTTTCAGGTGTAACAAAATCTTAAGGGCATTGCCAGAGTGTTTGAATTTTCTACAGTGGTTAGAAGCCACCTCTCTTCATCAGGTTTTACCCATTTACTAATCCAGTAACTTCTGCCAAGCATTGAAGGATATCAGTCACAAAAGACACAGGCATTCCTGGTTTTAAAGAGATTTGGGGTTGATCAGCAGCAGGCACTGCTGTTTAGTTTGATAATTTGGCTTTCACTCATAGATCTGACCAATCAAAAAGCAAGATACAACCCATGATGAGTAACTAAAAATGTGGTGAGCTTGGAAAAAATAAAGTTAATTATTTTTTTTTAATACCACAGCCTGACAGGACCAGACAGTGAATTCTGGATTTCTGATGTCTCAAAGACATTTATGTTTTGTATGTTCAAACACAATGTATTTCTAAAAATAAAAAAGATAAAAACTTGATGTACTGGTCTCTGAAGAAAACTCCTACAAAAGAAAGGAATTATTATTTGACCAAAATAGAAATAATTCTCATTAATTAGAAATTTAATTATGGAGGTACTGAGTTTTGCACATCATGTCACTGCAAAGCTGAGCCTTGTGGAGTTTAGAAAGGAAAAGATTATTTCCAAGGCTTATCAGAAAATTGTCTGGGATGTGTCCTTCAAAGTATGCAGGAGTTTTCCAAAGACACCCAGGAGCAATTGGAATAGGGGGGGAAAGCCTGGTTTGCTTTTCATCTGGCTCAATATAAAATATTTTAAACCATTAAATTCATCAAAAAGCCATTCTAACTCCCCATAAAGTTCACAGAAGTTCTTGCTCCAAGATGCATATGACATGATTTACCAAGAATTTCTTCACCTGTTTTAGAGAACCTGAAATTCCAATTTCCTAATGCAGACATTCTCAAAATTCCCTGTAAATCTAACAATGTTAGAGACCACCTCACTTCAGAAACCTGGCTATTTTTTTGGTTCAACTCCATTGTGAACAGATCATTGCCTCCTCTGAGCATCCCAAATAATCTGCCAGATGGCCATAAAGTGGACAAGGCTTTCACGATGGAGCTCAAAAATCTCCAAAAAAAATCATAAATTTACATTTGCAGCTTCTCTGTAAGTCTGTGTATAAGGAAAAAAAAACCAAACCTGAAAGACAACACGTGATTTAACAGTGACTACAAAGTGACAAGAAGACAATACCCAACTGAAAAAATCATCTGTCCTTTGAGAGGGTTCAGTTATTATTGTGGAGCAACAGAATCTATTATTAGCTCCTACTATTCCCTGCAGCAAGAAACATTTCTCCTCCTTCCCTGCCCTCTCCAAAATACAACCTATAAAAAGCATTCATTGCCAGCAAGGCCTGAAGAAGAATCCAGTAATCCAATAAATTAGACTTTTCACCCCCTTTTAATATCCATTCCAGAAATTAAATGTCAAAGCAGAGTATTATTTGTATCACTTAACACTGATTACTTACTTTCCATACCACTTAAGATCAACATTATTTCTGGACTGTGGACAACATTTTGCTCTTGGTAAAATGGATCTTGATTTTTATTGTGGTTTGTTTAGTGGGTTTTTTAAAATTTGTTTTTACGTCCCTACTCACCACAAGAAGCCTCACAATGAAATCTCAGTATAGAAGCAGCAGGGTGGACACTCCTATTACAGCATAACCTTCTATGCTGTGTTTGGATACAAACTTTTGCCAAAGTCCAAACCTGTATTTTACAAGGGCTAAAAAGCTCAATGAGGCCATTCCCAAGCTAACAATATATGGAAAGTATCTACAGCATGATACCTTCTGTGCTTCCCATCCCATCAACCAGGATTCACAGAGGCACAGAGTGACTGGGTTGGAAGAGACCTTCAAGATCATCGAGTCCAACCAGCCTAAACACCTCAACTAAACCATGGCACCTTTAGAACAGGCCCCAACACCTCAACTAAACCATGGCACACATGGAACAGGCCCTAAAACCTCAACTAAACCATGGCACCTTTAGAACAGGCCCCAACACCTCAACTAAACCATGGCACCTTTGGAACAGGCCCTAACACCTCAGCTAAACCATGGCACCTCAGGCCCTAACACCTCAGCTAAACCATGGCACCAAGTGCCACATCCAGGTTTTTTTTAAACACATCTAGGCATGGTGACTCCACCACCTCCCTGGGCAAGCCATTCCAATGCTTTATCACTCTTTCTGTGAAACACTTTTTCCTGATATCCAAAAAGAAGTTTAAGGATCACGAAGGCACGCAAGAAGCGTGCATAAATTCATTACATTGAAAGCATTTTGACACTGCAGCCATCCAGCCCAGCTGCTCGTGAGCAGAGCAGCGAGCGTGGGCGAGCTTCTCACCGACAAAGAGCAGGGTGAAGATGAGGGTGAGCTGGTAGACGGCGTGGCCCAGGATGTTTTTCATCATGGTGCGGGAGATGAGCGGCTTGTTGCGGCCGTAGGGCTTGCGCAGCAGCAGCGCCTCGGTCGGCGGCTCCGTGGCCAGCGCCAGCGAGGCAAACGTGTCCATGATCAGGTTCACCCACAGCATCTGCACGGCCTTCAGGGGAGAGTCCTGAGGGGAAAAATCAAAAATGTTTGTATTTTCCAAGAAAAGCCTGGCTGGGGGTTCATTTTTCTCATGGGGCTCAGAAATCCCAGCACTGAGGACCCTTCTTCCTTCTGTATTTCCTTCTGCAGGACCAGGAGCACAATGTCCCGAGCAGAGAGAAATTATCTGCCTGCAGGCATTTCATCAGCACCATTTGCAACCACAAAACTCAAACCAAGCATGACAGTAACTCCTTCTAACACCTATTGCTATGCTCTCCTTTCCTTCATGCATCGTGCTTGAATTTTCAGCTGAAATTAGATATAACTAGAGAATCCAAGTTTCTCTCATGGAAGAATCATTATATTATTGAAAGAGATTAAAAAGTAACATTTCCTTTAAACTAAAACCTGCCTGTCTTTTTTTTTTTCAGAGACAGCTTGAAATTATTGAAAATTTATGGAACAATTGCGGTGACATTGTGATAAATTACACTTAAAGAAGATCATTACAGTAGTGACATAATAAAAAAATAAGCCTGATATTTTGATAAAAAAATAATCTGAACTTATTAAACTATATCAAATGTGCAAAAGCAAGACCTATTCTTTTATCACTAAAAGGAAAGCACATTTGGCACTATGGAAATGGAATGAAAAACCCCAAATACTGGTATTTGATGCAGGCTGTGGTTTTGGGAGCAGCTCTCCAGTCACTAGAAGGAGCTCTTTCCTCACACAATCCCATAAAGTCTGTGGTCACCATACAGAGGACTTTAGGTCATGTTTAAAAACCCCCAAATTAACTAAATAAAGCAAAGTTACACAGATCTAAGGAGGATGCTGGACAACCCTTAACAAAGTTTTGGTGTGTAACTCACTGGGGCAGCTGTGAAGAGAGAGAAATGTTTCAAAGAGCCAGCAGAGTAAAACAAAAAAAAAAACCAAACTCCTGTGCCTTTAGACTGTATCAAACAGGCAGCATTAGCCAGGTCTGCTTCTGTTCCAAACAAGCCGTTTTTATGAGGGGAAAAAGAATCGCCAAAGTAATAAGGCATCAACATGATAAATTTCATCATGAAATTGAGTTACTCTGCTGCGTGAAAGCTGGGAGAGGGAGCACTATTTTTATGTATTTCATTACCATGGTGCTGCAGCAACGAAGCCAAAACAACGTAGAGGACAGGATACAAACCAAAGCAAAGCCAACAAAACTCCCTGAGAACTCTGCCCGTTTCTTCAAAGGGTTAAATGTTCATTTTTAATGAAATACCATAAAAGAACATGCATTCAGTATCCCAAGGACTGACAGAAAACAAGGGTAAGTGCTTTGGTCTCTTGAGCATCTGGCTTAGATTCCAACTCTCCCTTGAGATAAAATATTATTTGCTCTTAAAAACACATTTATAACACATTTATACAGATTTTGATGCATTTCATTTATGTAAAAAAACCACAACTTCTGGGTTATTCAAAGGGATGGAGAAAAGCAACCTCCTGTTTCTCAGTCTTACAGGTTGGGCTCATCACAGCAAAGAGGACAATTAGCATTAATAGATTCTTGACCTCTTAGTTATGGGTTGCATTAACTGCACTTATCTGGAGAGCTCAGCTCACTCATTTGAAATGCAGCTGCAGAAACAGGAAATGTCTTTGTCTTTAGAGGTGGCTAAAAAACTAAAGGAGATCAGGACAAACTTCATCCCAAATTGAGGCTCCATTCATTTTTATTAACACTAATGGCTCCAACAAAGAGAGCACTTGCAGTAAAAAGCAGTTTGTGGCTGGGGCTCACAGACCCTCGATGGGACACAGGTAAAAAGGAAAACATCTTTTCTGCTGAAGAATTTTCCTTATCGTGTTTTTGCCTGTCTCATTAATAAGTTTGAGCAAGCTCCTCTGCTTTGATCTGTTACAAAAACTCAATTTCCACTTCACACGCTGAATTCTCTGTCAATAATACCAAATTTCCCCGTTAGATTTAATAGATGGAGTCAGAGATTCAGGTGTCTATCAGAGGCTGCCATATTCCCAGCAGAACAGGAAAAGCAGGGTATTTCAGTCTCTAAATCACACAACTGTAATTGGCAGTCATCAGTTTTGGCAACAACACGTTCTCACCATTTCACACTGCCAATCACCTTGGGTGGCTGTGGTGCCCCTAATAATTATCTATTATTGGCAGTGCTACACTGCTCAGTGGAGTGTGAGAGCTCATTCCAGGCTGAAGCCAAAACATTAAATACACATTAGTCTGGGCAGGCAGTGGAATGAAATTTCCACTGTAACTCTATCTGATTTCTGATTAGTTGGTGGAAACTGAGGGAAATACATATCAGCTAAGGAGCTTAGGCTTCCACTGCAGATTTTAGTCACTCATGCAAGTGGCATGCAAATCAACCTTCTTTTCTTTGTGTTTTAGCCACTAACTGACCAGCCAATAATTCTTAATTCCCTCTCTGAACACTTTGGGGATGTGAACTACCCGAAATCACCACTTATTCATCAAATTCCTTTCACTTGACCTTGGAATAGGTTAGCCTTGGCCTAGAGGTGAAAGGAAAATGTCCCTTAAATCAAGTGATGTTACACTTCATCTTGGAAACACTTAAAAGTACAAATTGCCAAAGGCTGGAAATAAACTACAAATCTTTTGTGACATGCAGAGCCTCACAAATTTTAGAGCTTGTTACTTTTGATTTAGATGACAAGCTGCAAGGGAACAAAAAGGTATTTTCACCCTTACCTTTTTACTCCCATTTGCCACAGAACACATGCAGGTATCCAGAAAAATGAGCATTTCTGGGAGTTACCTTTCTATACATTAATGCAAAAAAAGTCCCTGTGCTGCTAGATCACGCTGTCTGCTAATTGTATGGAAGTGGCATCCTCAATTCCATCCCCAAGCCTTGCCAAAACAAAGCTAAACAGTACAGACTTTGATTTTATATTACAGCTTTTTCAAGTTTGCCTGCGCTATTATTTTAGAATTTGCCAAGTACAGTTCTGCAGTAAAACATTATAACCACATAAATTACTCCCTTTTACATGTAAGTATAGATCATCCTCATTTTTTTGAACAAGATCTGTAAAAACAATCAGTGATTCATGCAGCAGTTCATTGCTACAGTGCCTTTTAATTAACATTTAATTTTCCAAACATAATGTCCTATGGAGTCACTGTTTTCAGTTCCTAATGTCTGCTAAAACGCTAAGTCTCTCTCAAAGTGCAAGAATAATAATTTGAATGTAAAATGTTAAAACACAGCCTTTGTCTTCCCTTTTTTCAGTGCAAGCCTTTTGGAGAGTTACAATTGCCTCAACAGTTGGAGCCACAGACCGAACCTGGCACGGAGAGAAACCCTCTTGTTTCATGGCTCCAGTAAAAAACTGTTTCCATTTGACTGAGCTGCATTTTAAAATCTTCATTTTGTTCCTAGCCAGATCACTGTGGACAGCTCCAAAGGTAATGAGCTGATATCCTCTGGGTGCTGTGTGGTTTTTGGGGACAGGGAGAGGGGTGAGCCCAAACAGGGACACCCAGAGATGTGGAGCAGTGACTCACTGCAAGCACAAAACTCACAAGAATCGTAGGCAGAGCTCCAAAGAACCACCCTCATTGCATCAATCAGGGGCTCTGCAAAACTGTTATTCAGAGAATGAAGTCAGAATATAAAAGTTTGTAGCTCATAAATCCACTGGAAAAACAAACGATGGGTTTAAGCTGAGGCAGCGGCTGCAGAAGAGAAAGGACAATTCTACACAAACTGGTCCAGACCACCACACCCTGACCACACTAAAAGGGTGCAATGGCCACCACAGGGAGGACAGCAAGAGGGAACTGAGTTAGATTAATTAAAAATAAGGTGAATGAGCCCAGCTCAGCTGCACTGAGCCACACAGACCTCTCTGGGAGTAAGCAGAGGTGTGAACTCCTCTGGGGTCTGTGCACACACACAGACACAGAGCTAACAGCACCCCTGCACCCCAGACTGAGGGCTCCTGAGCCAGCTTCCCACCAGGGACTTCTCCAAGCTCTGCTTTCCTGGATGACCCAGATCTCAGAGCCTCTTACATAATTACAGACTCACAACACAGAAGTTTATTATTAGCTGAAAATTCAGATCTTGTGGCTTATAGATTGAGCTGCTGTAAACTGAAACAGGGCCCCATGTAAGTGAGATCCCTTGGAGGGGTGGTTGTGGCAGCAGCTGTGCTAAGCCTGTCAGCAGGTGACACTGGATCTGAAATTCTTATGCTGCTTAGAATGTGGTTGCTGTCACCTCAACATGACTTCGTGCTGGGAGCCAGGGGAGACAAGAGAAACAACCATTGCATTGGTCCTGTGCATAATAAGTTCTTTGACAGCCCACTGTTTGTCCTGCAGAAGCTTTATGCTTTATCTGGCACTGGAGCAGTACAGAGACATTTTGTACAGATCACTATCCACTGAAAGAGCAAACCAGAACAAAAGAGAAATCACAGATATGGCAGATATTCTCTAACAGAAGCATCTTCTTGAAGCAGGCACTGGGTAGATGAAAAATAAAATTATATTTGCTTAAAATTAACAGAATTAAACTAAACAGCAGTTCCCTGAAGTGGAATTGGCAAGGACCTTCACTTCATTAATCTACTGGAGGAAAAAAGCAGCAGATTATTAAAATGGCCACTAATGGTCCCAGGTTCTGCCTAATGTTTTTCTTAAGCCTCTCCATGGGCCTCTCAAGGTGCCCTGGACCAAACAAATCATCTGCGTGGGCAATGCACTCTCTGGGTGCCCCTTGGAGGGCTGGCTGCACTCCCACCACACTCACACAGTCATTAATTAATTCATTAATGCAGAATTGCAGTGCTTTCACTTGGAGTTCTGCAGGGAGATGACCACATCCTCATATTTACATGTGCACCAGAGAAAGTGCAGGATCAAGACTGAATAAAATTAAGCCCATTATGTTGCAAAGCAAAAGCCAAGTATTAAAAAAAGATTAGTACAAGCAAAGATTTTATTATCTTTGTACTTCCTTCAGGCACAAACCAAAAAGAGTAGGTGAGTGTGCTGGTCCCAAACTGCAGAACAGATTACTTGAGAGGTGGCATGAGGAAGAACAGAACAAATGTTATTATCTACAGAGAATTTTTCTCATTCTAGATATGAAATGTCACCAAAAGAACAGCCTGTGTAATGTTCATTAACCTGAATCTTAATGATGGACTGAAATTACATTCTGTGTGTCAGAGAAAGACAAACTGACCGCCTAAATCAAAGGACAGCTCAGTCCAGTGAAGACTTTCTTTGTGTTCATTTTGAAGGTCACAGGAAGCTGTGCTGCCTTTTGGAAATGATAGATTTAAGCTCTGTTTGCTTGCTGTTTTGTTAAGGACTGAAACATTTCAGTCAAAATCTTTCAGTCAGACCTGTGCACAGTTCTGCAGATTTGGATGTGCATGTGTGCACCTAGACTGTTGTAGGCAGGATTTTTTTGGGAGAGCCCTGCACTTTGTGCTGGAGCTATTTTCATAGCAACCAGAGGGTACAGCATGTTCCCAAGTGCAATTTTTAGCAAAGCTTTCAAGCCAAACAGAATGTCCTTTGGCTGGCTGGAGTCAAAGCCTAACACAATAATGTGCATTTGTGAGGCAAAATCCTTCTTGAATGAGACAGAACCGGGAGCAGCTCAAGATTATTCACACTGAGTGTAAACAGTGGCAAAGACAGACCTGCTGCCTTCCTGCTTCCATTTCCACTTCAGCTTCCCCCACACCTTTCCTTTGGGTTTGCACCTTTACTGACAAATTAAGGAATTGCACAAGAACCTGCAAAGCAACCCAGGAGTTCCAGGAGGTGTCCACTAAAACCTGTGAGCAGGGACAACAGGCCCAGGGATGGTCTCACAGACCTTGGGGGCAAGAGAAATGCACTGGGCCTGATCCAAATCCTTCTAGAAGCCAAAGGAATGATTCAAAGGATGAAAAAAGCTCCAGAATTAAAAAGGGGATAATGCTTGTACTGATAATGCACTTCACATCCACTTAACTTGATTTAAAATAGTCCTTGCACTGATCCAGCAATGTTTAACCTCCTCAGGGATAAAAAATTATTTGGTTAACAAATAGAATGAGTTTCCCTTTGTGCTTCCACAAAAAAAATGAAGAAGTGCTGGGCATTGACCAAGAAATTTCACCTTAAACAAACGTTTCTAGTCAGACACTGATTGTCAATAAAATCAGTTCCAGTGATGGTGCTGCTGTCAGTACCTTGTTCTGGCTGGGTTTGTACCACATGTAAAAACCTCCCAGAGTTTCAGTCCTCATTCCTGTGTTACCAGCAACAATCATTCCACAGCTGGACATTTCCTCAATATGCCGGGAAATATTTCCAAAGGGAAATTCATCCAACTTTGCTGCAACACCACAAATTTTGTCCCTCAGCACAGGCTCAGTGGTGACAAGAAGGGACCTCCAAAGCCTCTGAATGTCATCCAGGGCACAGGAGAAGTTTGACCTCATGGGTTTGTTAAGGTACCTGGGTTTCTGGTTGCAAGGATCAATTCCATGATTCCAATGTAAGTTTAGCCTGGAGCAGAGCTGATGACTTATTCATTGCTTTGCTCAGGTGTGCCTGGGCTGAAATGTACCTGCTGAAACAGGTATGGCCATCTGGGTGATGCACCATGAGGGAAGCATCAGCTTTCTCACAGTGCATCCCAATCCAGGGAGGCACTTTATGACAGCATCTAAAATATACATTATTTTAGGGACTGACAGCACTAAAAACCACATTTTTTTATTTTCTCATTAAACCAAAAACCTCACACTGTACTGCATATATCCTGTTAACTTTCTAGAGGAAAAAAGCAATTTTATTGCCCAAAAAAATTATAATTTGAGAAAAAAAGATGTTTGCTTTGAGATACGCTTCTTGCAAATGACCTGGATATGTTGCATCTGCACCAAGATTGCAATGAAGGATTAATGGAGTGCCAGAAAGAGAGGTCTAAGACCAACTCTATGTGTCATTTAATTGCTTTGTCATCTGCATCTGGAATTAAAAACAACTGCCTGAAAGCAACAAAATAATTTTATCAGTCAAAAAGATTGGGGTTACTTCCATGGGTCAGCACTGCTGTCTTGAAAATAACCTCATTCCACAATGCATTAAAAAATACGTATTCATTGGTGAGGTATTCTGAGAGGAAAACATTCACATAACTTGCTCCTTTCCCAACCCATGGTGTTTTCAGTTTGACCATCACAGGCTCAGGGATGAAAACACTGAGGGAGGCAAAAAAGCTCCTAAAAGTGAGTTCCTTTGGGAAAAAAAAGGGATTAATCCAGCCTGATGTCAGCAGCTCTTTAACCCTCAGCAGCCTGATCCTTGGAACGCTCAGGAGAATTTCCAAAGGTTTTGATACCAAAACAATTTATTGTCTTTTCTTTTTATACCTTTTATGTATTCTCAGTGCACTTAGCATGCATACTTGTAATTCCTCAAGTCCTGGTATTCTATTAAGCTAGAAAGCCAAACATCCTAAAGGCCTCACAGTTAAAGGCCAGAAAGCCCTACACTATCTTGAGAAACCAAGGTCTCATCTCAATTACATCCTGTAAACTAAGATTAAGCTCATTCCAAGATAAAAAGATACCACACTATTCATTCAAGCATCTCATTGGGCCATCTTTGGTAGACATGCTAATTTGCAAGGTCTATGAAATTGCACACATGATCTACCGTGTGTACGCATTTCAGCGTGCTCCAGCTTGGTGAGGTGTTACACCACAAAAATCCTTATTAAATACCAAGGTAACCCCTTTAACCTTTAACCATGCCTAGCTCTTCATGTTAGCATCAAGGAAAAGGCATCCTCATAGTACCTGTAATTCCTCAAGTCTGATAACTTAGCATAGTCCTGGTATTCTATTAAGCCAGAAAACCAAACATCCTAAAGGCCTCACAGTTAGAGGCCAGAAACCCTACACTATCTTGAAAAAACAAGGTCTCCTCTCAAATACATCCTGTAAACTAAGATTAAACCCAGCCAGGAATAAATTCTTCAAGATAAAAAGATACCACACTATTCATTCAAGCATCTCATTGGGCCATCTTTGGTAGACATGCTAATTTGCAAGGTCTATAAAATTGCACACATGATCTATCGTGCGTACGCATTTCAGCGTGCTCCAGCTGGGTGAGGTGTTACACCACAAAAATCCTTATTAAATACCAAGGTAAAAGCCCTTTAACCCTTAACCATGCCTAGCTCTTCATTTTAGCACCAAGGAAAAAGTATCCTGCTGTGTGCCAAGCAGGAATCAAATGCAAGGCCCCGTTCACTGGGAGCATGGATCGCAGCGGGATCGCGGCAGGATCCCAGCAGGATCCTGGTAGGATCCCAGCAAGATTTCAGCAGGACCCCAGCAGGAATTGCTCACCTGGGTGATGCAGGCTCCAGTGAAGGCCACGATGACGGCCACGATGTTGACGGTGAGCTGGAACTGCAGGAACTTGGAGATGCTGTCGTAGACGTTGCGGCCCCACATGACGGCCTTGACGATGCTGCTGAAGTTGTCGTCCGTCAGGATGATGTCCGAGGCCTCCTTGGCCACGTCCGTGCCCGCGATGCCCTGGGGAGAGGGGTTGGGAATGAGATTCCCTGCTGGACAGCACAAATCTCCACAGTTAAAGCCCACAGGTTTTTATATTTCCTGGAATTTCGCTAATTCGGCCTGGTTTTGATGTGAGTTAGGGCCGCAGAAAAGGGAATTGAGAGAGAGCAGAGGAATTCATGTGGTGATGGCTCTGAGTATTTTATCAGCTTAAAGACTGCTGATTATCTGAGGTATTTTTGTCATTGATGGTGGTTTTTTATTATCCATGAACAGAACTGGTAACAAAAATGACAATTATGTGTCTTTATATACAGTCAGAGTACACATGGAAGACACCTTTCCAATTAGTGGTGGATTTTACCACAGCAAAAGAGAACTCTAGTGTTGTGAAGAAGAAGTTCCTTTTTCTGTATGGGCACAGGATTCTGCATAAAGCCAATAATTAATTAGACAAAATCCTGAAGAAGTATCAAAACAAGCAATGCCAGTGAATCCAAGTGAATTAAAGGATTCTGAGTCAACATAACTCATTCCCACCAATCTATTCCTTCACTGACAAGTCATAACTAAGCAACTTCACATTCAATGAATGGAAAAGCCCTTACAGCAAATTCATAATGGCACAAACATCAAGATTATACCATTGCAAAGCCAACATCAGCTTTTTTAAGTGCTGGTCCATCGTTGGTTCCATCCCCAGTCACAGCTACCACCTGCCTCTGTTCCACCTGTGTGCTGTCAATAATACCTGCAAAAAATGTATGTATGGGTGTGTGTTTACAGACATTTATAATGTCAATGCAATAATTAGCAAGATAAAAGGTCCCTGTAAAAAAGCAGGCTCTGTATAATACAGATTGGATAACGCCACACAGTTTTACAGAGATTAAAAAGGCAGATCTTTAAGGAAAATAATGATGAAAGCTGCAGCATCACCACCATCCACTACTAAACATCACCATTAGGATTTACATGGAAAGTTCTGATCCTGCATCATCAACACATCAACAAAACCTGCTCAGGCTTCAAAGGCAATGAGAGCAGCTCATTATGTCCTTCTGGCAGATTCCTGCTATTCAAAGTGTCACAGCCCAGCACTGATCAAACATCGATGGAAAGGATTTGCCAAAAACTTAAGTTCATGTTTAGGGCTCTCCTAAACTGGGACCCAGCTGTAATATCAGCTTTACTAAAAAGCCTTCTTAACCTAGAGATAACAAAAGGCATTCACGAATTTTATGTAGCTGGAGAACTTTGGCAGCCACGTTCAATTTTGCCAAACAATGATTAAGGAGATACAAACTAATTCTTTAAATTCTGAAACCAAGCATTTTAATAAAGAGATAGAATAAAATAATTTCTACTTTCATTTTGAGATCATTTGAGAGAAATAAAAACCCCTTTTCACTTGGTGAATCAAGTTTTTCACACAACAAGGCTGCAGGGAATTATTTTCCACTTATGCAGATAATGAAAGTCAGGAAAATAATGAAGAATTTTTCAGAGGCTACAGAAGCAGCTCAGGTTGTTATAGGATGAAGATCATTCACAATTCATGTTTCTACTTCCATGTCAGGGTCCATTTGAGTACAAGTCCAGAACACAGGATTTGTTGTGTAGGATACAAGAACTCCTTTCCATATTGATAACTTAGGGGAGGAAAATGACAGAATTCCTTTTGCAACACATTTTGCACAAAGTCATTACCTCCAAAAACAATTATCCAAACCTACCCAGTGTGAAAAGCTTTCACTCTGCTCTAAAGAAAAAATTCCCTTCCATATCAGATAACCAAGGAGAAATAGGAAATTGCAGATTACAGAGCAATAGCTGCCTCTTGGCAAGGTTCAGGCTTATCAGGCACCAGAAGATTGCAGTGGCCTGTGCAAGCAGTTAGTGCCCTGTATTTTTCAGAGTTATGAAAATGAGAAAAAAAAGCCCTATTCACTTTTCACTGGTAGTATGATCTCAGAAAAATGGCAATTACTCTGATAAGATCTCACAATTAGAGCTTTCAGTTTGTTGGGGTGATTTGCCTTTGGTATTACTAAATAAACAGGAACATCATCTGTCACTACTGTTAAAAGCATTTACTTTGTCTTGTTATTAACACATCCTTTGATGTTAAATTAATAGTTTAAGCTTCTGAAAAAAAAAAAAAGTCATTAAAATCTCTGGCTCATTAAGGTATTAACTGCTCCAAAGAGGTCGATAGTATCTGCTCACAACTGGGCTCCAAGTGGGAGCACAACCCAAATCAAGTTGAAGAGGCTCAAACAAATGATCTCCTAATAGAGATAAATGGATATAAATAGAGACTGTGCTGATGACTGTGCCACCAACTGCCCTCCATCAGCCAGCTCCTGGGTGCTGCCAACTCATTCACAAGGTTTAGGAGACATTTTTATCCCAAAATCCAAACTATGCAGCCAGGATGAGCCCAGAGCTAAATGCAGCCATGGAAAACCAGACATGAAAAGGTCTCGGGTATCATCAGCACCTGAGCCCCAGACCTTCCCCACAGTGCCCACTGGGAGTGCCACAGGAAATGTGTGGAATTCTGGGGATGGATTTCAGTGCTACCCATGGAAGAGAGAAGGACTTTGCAAAACACCCATCTGTACGTCAGACAAATTTCTAAAATGGAGCAGCCACGATTATTTGGGATTCAGAGGATTTATCACAGCTCTACCAACACTCCCTGACTTCTGCCTGCTCTTTCTAATCTCTTCCTCCTCCCTGCTTCCTCCCATTGCTGAATGTTTGCCTTCTTCCCAGCACGTGCCTCCCTCCAAACACATTAAGGTTTGTTTTTAATATGCTGTCAGTGGCTGTGATAAGGTTTCACCTCAAGAATTCTCTTCAGTACTGAGAAATGTGCACAGATAAAATTCACAGTGTGAGGAGACCAAAGAGAAGAAGGATGCCCAGGAAGGGCTCTCTCTCTGAGCTGTGGGGATTAATCTCTGATGTGATCAGGGAAAAATGTGACTGAGGGCATGAGCTGACAGGCTGCCAGTAAAGAGAACATTCCCTGGCCTTTGCACTCAGTCCAAGTGGCTGCAAAGAAGCTCCAGTAATAATCAATCATGTCTAACAACCAGGAAATTTCTTCCAACTATACAGCTTTCCTCCAGTTGAATGCTTACATACAGAATTTTAATAAAAACAGGTTTTCACGGGGAATTCTTCTACTCTCAGCAAAGCTTCCTGCCAAAACAGCCTTTGCTCTTTCACTGGCCTCTTCCCTCTGTTGAGCTGTTTGGCCATGACTTCCTCCTGTCACAAAGAATTTCATTCAACAGCCCCAGGAGCACACCTCAAGCAGAACATGACAGTGTGCTCCACACAGGGATCCCGCTGATGTGGCAGGAATTTGGGCAGGAAATTTGGGCAGGAATTTATCCTGTGGCTTGCATAAGACGCAAGTTTCTCAGAGCAAGCAGCTTGTGTCAGATGAGGGCAAAGATCAGATTTAAAACAACCATGCAGGGCTGTCAAGAAGGGCTCTAAATGCATAAGTCTGCTAAAAAAAGTACAAAATACAAGATACAAAACGGAAATATATCCTACATCTCCCACCTTCCTCCCAGCCAACACTAAGCAAGCATTAAATCAAATCCACTCAGGATAATAACTGATAATAAATAGCCAACAATGTCTTTTCTGCACCCATGGCTCAGCTCAAACCCATCAGAGTCAGCCCCAGGTTCTCCCTCGGTCACAGGACAAGTGCTGCTCTACTTAAACAATCCTTGCTCGTCACCCTTTGAGTTGCATCTGTTAGAAACTCTTGGGAGAAAAAAAAAAATCCTGGTTTAGAGATTTCTTTCTGTCTCAACTGCTTAAAACAAGCAGGAAAATTCAGCTCCAGCTGAGGATTTCAGAGCTGAAGCCCAGTTCAGGGTTAGAGAGGCAGGAAAGCTGATCCTCCCTCAGGATCACACAGATTTGTGTTTCTTTGACAAGCTAAACAGAGGTACAGCCATGTATTTTCATGAACACATCCTCTTCAGGTTAGTTTTTAATATTTCCAAACTTCTGGAAGCTCCCTGTTAATGTAACGAGAATTTGCAAAGTCTGTCTGAAGGAGAAAGCTCACATTTATTTCAGTTACATGTTTGGGTACCTGCCTGGATAGAAGTTGAAAGGTTTTTTTTATATAAAAATGTTCTGTATAACATTACAGACAGCATTGGGAATCAAGTGAAAATTCCTCCCCAAAGTTCAGAATATCAATTAATACAATTTTCTGTATTTTGATTATTGTACCCATCTCACAGCTTTCCACATTAATGAGGTTATGAACATACTACCATGCCATGAAATAACAGTTGAAATGTTTGAGTAATTAAGGGTAATTACTAAAAATCTTTTCTTCTTAAAGTTCCCTTTCTGTTTGATAACAAATTAGCCCTACATGACAATAGCTGTTTTTAATATCACCAAAAAATAATTCCAGTCTAATTTAAATATATTGGAAGGTACCACTTGTTTAATTGGTTAACTGAGTATTTCTTTGATCTTTTCTTCTGATGATATTTCCCATCAGTGTTAAGCAACTGTTTCCTGCAGTGTTTTTAAAAGATAAACTGACAATTTTGAATTATTTCAGCAACAGCGCTGTAACCTCACATCAGTATAAATGATATGTGATTTTACTTGTTATATTTTGAAACAGAGTTAAAAATATGAAATTTTAAATTTGACAAATAATAATATGAAAATTTTAAAATATGAAAAGGTGTCTTAAAACCCATCCCAAATTGTATTTCAGTGAGACTGGGATTTTGGTTTCACTGAAGCAGTTTGTGATGATAAACCTCTTTGATGGGTGTTTTTCCAATCTACCTCTACTTCAAAGCCATAAATATTTGACTGCAAGTGTCTGCCCAGGCTGAAATGCTGAACCATGCCCTTCTCTGGTCCCTGAGCAGTACTGAAAACAAAAGTGAAAAATAAAAATGATCCTTTTGTTGGGTGGGATTGTGCTATGTTAAGGGGAAAAAAGATTCCCTCCAGCAGCTGTATGTCATTAAAAATTAAATATAAAAAAAGTTTATTTTCTGATGTGTGTTTTTAGCCTAGAGCAGATAGAATACATCAAAGGGGAGAAAATCCTCTCAATCCCTCAAGTGTCTGAGAAAAACATAACATTTTAATAAGAGGCCCAAAACTAGTGAACATTTAAATAGTTTCTTGTAACTTTTAATGGCCCTTGGAGTATTACCAGCCAAAAAATTCCATCATGATTTCCACAGACTCGTTCTTGAACTTTGTGAAGACACTTAATTGCTCTCTCGACCTTGTCACATCTTTAAAACATTAATTGTGGTACTTGCATGTGGCATTCAGTAGGAGTAAATATCTTTTGGGCTGTCCAAGTGCTTATGCTACAAACCATCAACAATTTGCTATTCCTGTTTTCTCCAGCTCTCTATTGATTTCAATTTCCCTGGCAAAGGTTTCCTGCTCCTCTTGAGGGAAAATCCTGAATGATTCAGACGAGCACTCCTGAGGGACTTGGTTAATCCACTTAATGAAACACAAATTGTTGTGTTTCTGAAACAAATCAGCTGCTGGGCTGAACAAGGGCTGTTCTCTGAGAACAGGATCCTGGAGCACGGGGTTTGAGATGCACTGCTGAGGAGACTTCAGCTGACCTTGGGCAGGTCTAACAGCGACCCATGAAGATAAAAATGCCTCCAAACCTTTCTAATCCTGAACAAACCTCTGCTGGAAAACTATTTTGGAGCACACCTCCCCCAGAAATGTGTATTATTTATTAATTACACATAGGTACTGCCTACTAATAAATTGTGTACATTATAAGATATACATATAAAAGATTCGGTTGGAGATGATACATTCTGTCTCCAGCTGCCCCATCCAGTACCACCCATTTCCACTGGTCTCAAGCCCAAATAACCCAACTGATCCAATCTTCAACTTCACAATGGAACTTCTGCTCTAGCGTTCATTTAGACATTTTTAAAAATTGCACGATGCTCAAAAGCCTTTGTAATCAGCCATATCTGGAATCATAGAAACAAAACCTAAAGGATTTCCTACCTAAATGTGGAATAATATTGGAGTAGTCAACAGCTGAAAACAGGTATGTGATCAGCTGGATCTTAGCCTGAACTTTAGTTGCTCCAAGAATTGCTAAAAGGGCTCTCCAGACTTTCCAGGGCATTAGCAAAGTATTCCAGCTCTTTCTTCATCAGGAAACAGCAACCTGCTGACAGGGCTTCTACCTGAGCATGGCCAAAAATGATGTTATTCCTGCTCAGAAACTGCCTGATTTCACCAGCCATGAAGTGTGAGCCTCCAAGTCAACTGAATAAGATGCCAAGTCATCAAAAGAAAGAAGGAAACTGCAAACCAAACCATTTTTAATGGCAGCATTCCACCTGCAGACAGTGTGGGGAGAGAATGGAGTTTGGATGGTACATTTCCTACAGGGCAGACTCTAAAAATACAGGAATCTGAAGGGAGCCTATGCAAATCCCACAGTTAAATTAGCCTACAGGAAAAATGGAATTGGCTGAAAATCCCCATCTCCACTGGGCAGCTCCCAGTTCCACCATCCCAATAACTGCTGCTGGGACAGGAAAAGGTTTTTTTTCCTCTTTGAATGCTCTTTAGGATAATTCTGGGAGAAGAGATGCACTGGAGTGCCTGGATTCACTCTGAATGAGATTGCTCTTGCTTCCCTCATAAAGCAGTGCAGGCAAAGACAAAAAAATCTACGTCTCCTCTTGTTTATATCCTGTTTCCCAGCAATATTTTCTTTCTGCCCTCCAAATGCACATTTTCCTTCCCAGCTCGAGTCTCATTCCAATTAAAAGTCACAAGGCAAATATGAGATTGCCTAAATCCACTTGCCAGGCATCTTGTTGCTATTTCTCTCATTCCTGCCAAGGAGTTTCCTATTATTTTCCATGTCAAGGCTGAGGTAGAACACAAACACAAGAGTGCAAGAAAACTTCTTTGTGTGGTGCAGTTAAAGATGACAACTCAGGTGGATTTGGAACAGTGAAATCAAAGCAGATGATGGGCTTCAACACCTTCATCATTGATTTCCAGCCCCCCACAAGCAGTTTGCACCCACCTTTCACCAAAGTGTGTTTGTCCGTGGGGGAAGAGCGAGCAAGCACCCGGAGCTTTGGCCAGATTTTGTCAATCCGCTCCTGCTCGATCTGCAGGGGAAGAACACAAAAAAGAACCCAAACAGTAAAACCTCCAGCCTGTGATGAGCAGAGTTTATGTTATTGTGTCAGAAAATTCCCCTCATTGCTCAAACCTGCAGCTTTTCTCCAAAGCACAGAAAAATTCCAGCAGCCATCGATGCTGCAAGGGAAGACAAGGCCAGTACTAACAGGGCTCAGCTGCTGGCTAACATAGGTAAATTCTTCCACAATATCTAACCAGCCTTTCTTATCATCTTTATGGATAATTCCACCCAGAATCATCATTCTAGATAAAGGATACTGGAGTTTCTCAAAGCTGATCAAACCTGTTCACAAGTTTGTTGTTCTACTCCACAGGAGAACCCAAATTCTTCATTTAGCACCAATAATGGCAAGATTTTCTTGTGTAACAGGAACAAAGCCAAACTTGTTGCATTTACTAACATTCCCAGGATTCCTCCCATCCATGCAGAGAGCACACGACTGTGTCCACTCATTTAAGGTGGACTCAAGAGCCAGCATAGATTTTTCTTTTTTAGAACTGTGTCTGAGCTCCATCTTTGATGAGGAGTTAAAAACCTTCCAAAGGATGGATTTTTTTTAATGCAAATCATTGCTGTGAGTACATTGGAGAAAGTGGAATAAATTAAAGAAATGAGAGGAGCTGGTTCTCAGTAGAGATTGCATTTTAGGAGCAAAATTGCTGTTGAGTTCCTTCTCCTCTTTGCCATAAACCTGCAAGGTTCCTTCTCCTCCTTGCCATAAACCTGCCTCAGGTTTTGATTTCTTGTGGAGTACTGCAGTTCTAAAAACTGCAGAATTAGGCCTGCACTAAACTGATACTGGAAGAGTAAAGAGTGGAATTTCACCACTGCTTTGAATTACAAAAATTTAGTGGGAGAAAAAAGTAGGAATTTTTCCAAGCAGTCTTTATGTTACGAGGCGCATACCAGTGCAGGCGAATATTTTGGTGTTTTCACTGGGTTTTGTTTACCTCTCCCTTCTCATTTCGGATCCTCCTGTTGAACTCCTTGCCCTCGAGGCAGAGGAAGTCCTCTCCGGGGTGGATGATGCCACATTTGATGGCGATGGCACGCGCAGTGTTGATGTTGTCCCCGGTGACCATGCGCACGGTGATCCCGGCTCGCTGGCACTTCCGGATGGCTTCTGGCACCTGCAGAGGATCCCTCGGGGTTTTAGCTTTTGTATTTTTCAAATCCTGGACTGTAACTCTAAACTCCATACAGAGTGCTACTTAACTGTCTTCACATTTTGGTCAGATAAAATTATTGATTACACAAAAGTGCTGCCACGCTCATAAATTGTGCACATTATAAGATATACAAAAGTTCTTCTCTAGGCCTGGAACTCAAGGACACCTCACTGCCTCAGGCCCCCAAAAAGTATAAACAGAAGTGAGCTGGGGGGAGCAAACTGGGGGTGAATGCCTTCATTCCCTGCAGCTGGAATGGGAGCATTAACCCCTGATGTGTGAATGGCCAAACTGATCATGGTGGGACAAACTCGTGCCCATGGCCCCCCTTGGCTGCAGCCTCTGGAGGCTGTGGCTGCCCCAGCTGTGCCTGCTGAAGGCTTCCATCAATCCCCACTTTATTCCCTGAACCTGGCCTGGCCTCTGCTCTGGGGGCACCTCCAAGGTATCACAGAAACAAGGCAAGGGCAAAGAAAACTCCTGGATCAGAGTTAAACACAAGGCAGGTGTCCCCATCCAGAAAAATTTCAGGCTAAGGAATGCCTGAAGCAGGAAGGGGAATCAGATGTGTTTTATTGTAACTTGACTCTTCTGGAGTTGGGGTCACTCCACAAGCAAGGCAAATCTTGTATCAAGTAAAAAAATTGTCTTTTAGATCAGTTCCTTCAACTTTCTCCTGGCTTGAATGAAAATGAGTGCTCTGCAGCTTTTTTGACCTTTAGCAAGCTGAACAAAACTACTCAACACGTGTAAATACGAATGGACAATACAAACATTCTGTACAGAAAATTACTTCTGATCCAAACCTTCCTTTCAAGATTTTAAAGTTATTGTGATTTAGCACTACTTAATTCATGCTTATCAACAGGTGGAATTCCTAAATACAGGAGTTTAAAATTAATATTTTACATATTTCAAAATCATTTAAATGAAGCCTGATTTTACTGATGCCTTTTCATGCATGAGATAAACTTCTGCTGCACAGGAAATGTATCAGGGAAAGAGATATATTCAGGGTATAACAGGAGCTGTGAGATTAATGTAGGGGCTCCATTCTGACTTGGCATCATACACATCTTATTTAAAAAAATAAATTCAGGAATTAAAAGAAAAGATTGATTTCTAATAATTAAATAAAGCTGGTTTAATACAGTATTTCAGTAAATGAAGGCTATAGAAAGGTTCCATGTTTATAGCTCAGTTTCAGATGGGGAAAAAAATTCTGTTCCCTTAAACTACATCCTAATTAATTATAATTTCTAAGTAAATATCACTAACCAATTAATTCAGTCTCATGACATTTTTGCATTATTTTGCATTATTGTTATGAAAGCGTTATTTCTTCAAGAGAAAAACAGCAATATTATTTAAAGTGGGAGAGTGAGGAATGTGTTCAACATGTCCAGAACAGCCTGGATGTCATTGTTCAGCACAGCACCACTTGTCCAAATTTCATTTTTACCTACAAGAGCCTGGAGCAGCCCAGGATTCATCATGAAGGCTGAAGCCCTTCACAGAGCTACAGGGAAGTGAACTGCCCTACTCAGAAGATGGCAATGCACAATTATTAAAAAGTATTTTAAAACCACACAACTATTTAAGAAAAGGTATCAAAATGGATATTACTGTCTGTATTCAGATATAAATGTGTTGTGAAACTCAATGCCAATTTGAGTGGATTCATCTCATCCATTAGTGCAGAAAATGCTGAGGAAAGGAAAAACCATCTCAAAACATTATACTGCTAATTTTATGCATTTCTAGATATTTTCATTTCCTCTGTAGCCACAAGTAGGGGACACCACTGTGTGTTTTATTATATATTATAATATATATTATATTTTTTTATATATATTACAAATGCTTTACACATACAGCACTGAGTGTATTGCTCTGAGCCAGTGTAGCACACCTTGGGCTTTAAGGGATTTCCTGGGGCCAGGAAGGCACTGAAAACCCTAAACTCCTCCACCACACCACAGATAATGGTTCTCCCAACCTGGGAATAATTTCACACCAGGTTTGTGAATATTTATTAAAGGCATTTTGTGGAGTTCCTGCTTTCCAAAATGCCTCCCTAAACCAACACCTCAGCAAGGACCAGAGCAGAACTTTCCCCAGGATTCCCAGGAAGATCCTCCACCCACAGTTCGTGCTGTTTGCAGGACTCTGTCAACACAGATCACAAAATCAAGGGCAGAATTCAGGGACAGAGCTTTATCTTCCCATTTCCACACCTCTAACTGGGAATATTTTCCCCACAAATTGTACAACCTGGAAAAATTATTTCCACCTGAAGCCCTTTAGTGGTGTGAAATAGGTTTCTGTAGGAGAATATATGATCAGGTCCAGTCTGTTCCTTAAGCAAATGACCCCTGATCTCTCCAGTTTCCACATTCATAATCCTGCCTAAATCCCATTTGTCAATTGGAAATGCTTTTGGTAGCCACTTGGAGCTGTGGTGACCCTCATGTATAGGACAGGACAGATTTAGATAGAAATCTGGAAAACCAGCCCAATGGATGGACTGTGAAGAAGAAAAATAAATTACAGTGCAAGCAGAAAAAAAGGATATTCCCATGAAGGGTCAGTCCCATTGAGCAAGGTCAGGGGAGGACAGCTCCAGTTGCAAACAGGTCTCAAACTCACATCTAACTGGAGAAATCATCCTGTTTTCCTCTCCTGTCATTTTCTGGACAGCTGGTGGGTGGTATCTGATTTAATAGTGTGTACAGTAATTACAGTTAAAATATTGTTCATATTTTTTTTATTGCTGTAAGGGAGAAAGAGTGTTGGCAGACTGAGTGGGCAGAGGAAGCAGATATTTTCCATCAGTTCTGCAGAGCTGAAGTACACATTTCACAATTTTTGGGGTTTATTTTCCCTCTGCAAAGCAAAATTTCCAATGCAAGCACGCATGCACCGAGTATCCAACACAGGAATATCTTTCCCAATCAGGTGACAAATAAATAGGAGATATTTGGAAGGGATTTACGTTCATCTCCCAGAAATAACAGACTGGAGGCGTTTTCTGGCAGATCAGTGTGAGCCAGTTCAGGCTCATTAAAATCAAGCCAGAAAGAGTGTCAGGATCAACAGAGAATCTCTGCAGGAGAAGGGCATCACTCTGTTTGTTCTCTTCCTGTGTATTTATCAAAGAAAAATAAAAAACACACCCACAAAATATAAATATCAAGCAAGAAGTTCAGTGCTTGCTAAATCCAGCAGCTGCTGATGACAAAGCTGGTGTCTGAATTAACCTGGGAATATGGAAAAGCCATGGGTGTCCATGGTGGGCATTCCAGAGAAAACTCAAAACTTGCTGGACATCAGTGATAAATAACTCATTCAAATGGTGGTTTTGTAGTGTATGGGGGAGATGTGAGTGCCAGAAAGCTCCCTGAGTATCCCAAGAATGGGATCATTCCTGGATGCACAGGAGCCATGTCCTACAGGATCCACAGCACAGCCCAACACTCCCTCAGGGAAAAGGAGAATCCTGATTCTTCCCCAGAAAACACAGGAATACAAGTGAAGGGAAGGTAAAGGCTGCCAGGACTGGGACAAGTTTATTAGAATTACCTGAATTATCACCTCCATCCAAATAAATCCTGACATCGGTGAATATTGAGAATATTGATAAAGCAGCACATTTAGTAGGAATTCTTATTTTTGTGTTCTTTTTTTTACCCCTACAGAAAGCACTTTGAAAATGCATAAGCTCCAGTGGGGAGTCAATTTAATGAGCAGATTTCATTTTGGCAAAATATTCCCTAGAACTGCTCAACATCTTGCTATTTGCATCAGCAATGGGGATTTTACACACGCACATTACAATATTCCAACCAAGCCAGATATTCCAAACTTACAGAGTTTGCTGAACTTTATGTTTTTCTCCTGGCTCAGGGTTTATTGGTTCATTTATTTCCCCTAAGGTACTGCTTCTTATAATGTGCAGAGTAGTAATAATTTAAATATTGGTTTAAATATTTTTATTTTGTTATTGCTACTTCGAAGCAGTCAAAAGAGACAAGGAGGAGAAAAACAAAAACCCAACTCCCAAATGTCCAAAATTTGGTAAAATTCTGAAATTGCAAATATTTTATCTTGTGTCTTGCAGTAAAATAGAAATGTTCCTGCATGTTCTGGTGCTAACCTACAAGAAATTCAATACAATATTCAAGTGTTTGTTTAGAAATAAGATGTTTTCCTGCCTTCATCTCTTTGATTCTTTACATAGAAGTCAGATTTGCCCTCTATTTTTAGCAGAATTATTCACTTTTACCTCAAGCTCCTCAAAAATTATTCTCTGCAAGATAAGAGCAGCTTTCTTACAAAACACCCTCCTAACAATCACATGAAAGGAGAGTTTGCAGCTATTTTCCATAATAACTGCAAATCCCACTGCTCCCCAATCCCTCAGTCTGTCACACCACACGGAACCTGACTTAGAGCTGTTTTCTAACGTGGATCATGATTTAATTTAGGAGGGGGAGAGGATTGATTCACAGTTCCAGTGGCCACTGACAAAATATTTCTGAAAATATCTATATTTTCTGCAAAATATTTTCTGCAAAATACCCGTCTGTGTGAGCTGGAGCATTAAAGGAGCACTGTAGACAGAACTTCTAAAGGACATTTTCCAACATTTTGAAAGCCTTGCAATGTCAGCCGTGGGGACAGATGCATTAGCAGCAGGAGACCATCTGATGACAGATAAAGTGGATGCTGTTTATCTGCTCTGTGTGGAGATAAGGAGTTTATCATCCAGTTGTCACCTACACAAGATTTACTTTTTATTTTAACCTTCATATTGAGGAGAAAAAGCCAATAAAATCCATTCTGAGGCAAGGCACAGTCTTGGTGCAGTTGGTACCTGGGGTTGTGTCATGCTAGCTCCAAAGGTACTGTCACCATTTTCAAACCCCACATTGGAATTCATAATTCTCCATTAATTATCAAGCACCAATAGAGAGATCAGAATTCTCTAACTCAACCCTTTCTATTTATGTAGGAATGTAATTTACAAGTGTAGAAGCAGGGGTGTGTTTCCCATGTGCACACCTACTACTGATTTACTCTGAAATTTTATATATATTTGTACACTCCATGTAAATGTGATATCCATGACAACTGCAGCCTTTCCTTCTTCAAATACAACATCAAAAACAAGTTTTCCTGAGTAGTCACCAGGTACAATCTTAAGTAAAGTGACAACTATTACAATAAATGGCAAAAACTCCAGTTTCTCTGGAAACTGTCATTATAACCATGGCAATTTTAATCACTGCACTTGTCTTCCCTTCTTTCAGAGTTGTACATCACTGCACTGCTTAAAGGAAAATTCTTTAACATGTGGGAGCATTACAAAACCTCTGCTGATCATTTCAATCCTGCACTGCAGAAAGCCCTGTATTCCTTTATTTAAATATAGTTGAATTTTATCACCCTAATTATTTGGCTTTTTATCAAGTAAAACCCATTTCTAAAGCTGATTTTCAGCTTCTTTGAAAGAACTAATTTAAAAAAAAGAGATAAAACCTGTAAAAAACCATCCAGGTTATGTCCAGTTTTCCACAAGATAAAAATTGGACGTACCTCTGGCCTTACTGGGTCTTCAATGCCAACGACACAGATGCAAGTCAGGTCAGATAAGATGTCATTCTCGTTGTCCCAGTCAGGCTCAGGGCTGCTGGGGAAGTCTCTGAAGGCCACACAGATGGTTCTCAGCCCATCACAGGCCATGGGCTCAATCACCTTCTTCACCATCTCATCCCTGTCGCGGGGCCTGAAGATGCGCGGTTCCCCAGCCGCGTTGAGGATCCTGGAACACCTGGTTTGGGCAGGGAAAAGAGAATGAAAACTGAGTGTGATGCCTTAGCATTTTAGCTTTTATATTTTCCATTTATTTGTACTCCTGCAGTTCTTTAGTGTGTCACTCCAAACTGCACACCCAGTGTCAGCTGCAGCTTCCCCATTTTGGGCACACACAACAATTCCTCTCCAGGCCTGGCAATCAAGGACACCTCACTGCCCCAGGGCCCAGAGATGGGAACAAAAGGGACTTGGGGGGAGCAAACTTGGGCTCAGTGACTTCATTACCTGCAGCTGGAATTGCCAGATGAACCCCCAATGTGCAAATGGACCAAACTTATAAAAGTATAAAAACCTGTGACCTTCATCTGCCCAAATGTACCTGCAGGCTCTTCAATAAATAGAACTGATTTTTATTCCCTTAGTTCTGTTTGGGTTCTGTTTTTAGGTAGTCCCAAAAAAGCATCAAGTGTGCATCTGCATGACTGCCAAAGTATTTCCTGTATAAGCTCATTTCAGTCAATGCTTTCCTCTTCTGATGTCAGGTTTTAAGTTTCTAATGTAAATTTCTAGAAGATTCACTGCTGAAATATCAGAGAGAATTTGAAACTTATTGCACAGACACCAAGAACCCTTCATGCATTATTTTCTCAATAATCAATGAGCTGGCTGCTTACAGTGAAATTGAAAAGTGCTTCTTTTCCAAATGGGTTGAACGTAAAGAATCCATTTACAAATTACCAAGAGCAGACTCAATTCTTTGGTAAGAAAAACAAATCAATTTCCCAGAAGCACTTAAAAAAATTTTAAAAAACAATAATTTAGCTCATTCTGCTAAGGTGTGTCCCATTTCTGGTGCAGGCAGCAAACTCCAAACACCAGAATTCCCACATTATAGCATCAGGATGCTTTGAATTTTGGAAAAAAACAAGGCCAGGGATGCAGTGCACTCACTTCTTGAGAACAATCTCGGAGGCTCCCTTGCTGTACATGCGGAAGCTGCCGTCGGGCATTTTGATGACCGTGCTCATGGACTTCCTCACGGAGTTGAAGGTGTAAACTTTGTAGAGCTTCTCCTCGGGGATGAGGCTGCGGACGGGCTCGTAATCCTGCTTCAGATCCAGCACAAACCCCAGGAGCCCACACTCCGTCTTGTTGCCCACCTGGCGAGGCAGCCCGCCCTCTTTCTCTGGTGGCTGGAGAGAAGAGGAAAAAAAAAATTGGAGATTAATTTCTCTCATTTTTCTCACAATTCTTAAGTTTAACATCTGAGCTGTGCAGCCACGAGGCTTGCAGTTTTTAAAATCGAGGTAAAAATTCCATGGAGCTCCAACAGACCTGAAGCATCTCCTCACAAGGAGAAACGTTTCTCTAGACCATATTTGCCACATTTGGTCTCTTGCATTTCTTTTTTCTTAAATTAGCCATTGGCAGCTTGTGATGGTTGGGCAATCCATTAGAAAGGAAGTAACTTTCCTTAGGCTGAAAACCAAGCAATTCTCACTTGTCATGAACAGAGGATTTCCTTTTCTCTCTTGCTTAGAATTCCATTGGTTTGCTGATTTTCACTGCTTTAAAAGTGAGTTAAAGAAAGCTCTATCTTTTTCTTTATTCCTGCCAGGCATTTTTATATAAAAATAAATCTCCATCCAACCATAACAACAAATCTCAGTGAAAAAAAATCTATGAAATAATAGTCCTGTATCTAAATGTATTCGTTTCTAGAATTACTTTAGTCTGCTGCTTCAGACAAATAAATTCTATGTATGTTAGTGAAAATGGAGTAGACTGAACACTGTGCTACTTCTACCAATTTTTAATCCTTCTGAAGGAGAGAAGGAAGGACAAGGAAGACTTTAAATTCCTTTTCAAAACAGAAATAAACACTTAATTTACAAACTTTCTTGGGAGTGTTGTACACCCCAAACAAAATATTCCTGTGCCAGGACCCCAGACTTCAAGTGGCCAATGTGTGAACTATAAACTAGTGATAACTTGCAGTTTCTTATGCTCAGTAGAATTAAAAAGTGTTCCTTAAGCCAGGGCTAAACTGCCCTTATGGGAATAAAAACATGAAATCATCTCACAGCTTTAATTTGCACTGAAAACAGATTTTGATTTGGCTCAAGCCAAGACTCTAAGTCATCATTCTCAATGTGAGTTAAACATTTACCTCACGTTTTGCAGAATTAGCACTGCAGGACTGTATTCAGAATCCGTATTTAATTTCACTTTAAAATCCAGTTTACTTCAGCAATGGGATTCCTAATAGATAGAACTTCCTACATTGTCCATCACTGGGATGAGGGCACACAAAGGGAATGATTAAAGCTGCAAATCAGCCACCCTACTGGATTTGAATTCTTGCAACAAGTATGGCCACCAAAAGGGAAAAGGGGGCCTTTGAAATGAGCATTAGGAATTAATTATCCCAGAAAACCACCAACTGCAGCTGGTTTGAAAACGAAGGTCAGCTAGATAACAGACTTCTAGAACTGAAGCAAACAAATAAACATTAATTTTTCTAAAAGAATCATCTCCCTACCAGCAGGAAGATTGATACCTGGATACCTGGTGACAGGTAGATTAATGTCTTTGTTTGGTTTTTTTTCAGAGAGAAGCAGCTACAAAGAACAACACAGAATAACCCAAAAATCTGTCTGAAAGAGATTTATCCTTCCAAAAAGGATTGTAACATCTTTCTTTTATGTGAACCATCATTTTTACTGACTAATATGGGTCACTCTGGTGTTGCTGTGACATTTTAACATCACTCCAGGGTCACTGTAAAACACTGACATTCAGCAAAAATGCCAGGGAGATAACATTAATTTTATTACCTGCTATAACAACTTGTCCTGCTGTAACCTCATTATACTGTGATGTAACTTCCCTCTGGATTCTCAAATTCATTTAAGAATCTCTAATTCAAAATGGAAGTGCTCATAGCGAGGTGTATCTGGAATTCAGTGGAGTCAAAAAAATACCTTTTAAAATCCAGTTTTGTTTACTTAAATAAGTTTTGTGTTCCTGGCATTGCAGGCACAGAGTTCCTGAAATCTGCCAGGAACTTCAGGTTTCTCAAAGCAACAGAGGAACCAACTTCAGTGCCTGGGTAGTAATGGGTGCCAGGGAAGATCCATTCCCCTGGGCATATTAAATCCAACTGCTCTCATTTTGGACCTAAATCCTCATTTATGCTTCTCTTTGCCACTGAACTCAATGAAAATTGTCACTGAATTAAATGTGAATGTGGTCAGGCCACTGGAACACTCCTGGAACCCAAAGAAAGACAAAGTTTTCCATCAAAGTCAGACAGCTCTAGACAATAATTAATTTATAGATATGATTTCATCATGCCCTGATGCCAAAGAAATCAAGAAAATAAAAACCTGCTCAATACAACTTCTCAATACAAAAAACTATCAGAGTCCTTCCAAAATCACCTTTATTTCAACAAAAAGTAGATCACACTCCCCTGTTCTTACCACAGCCTAAAAATAGATTCCTTTCAGGGAACATCTTTTGAATGCAAATACGTAAGCAAGGGGGGAAAAAAAAATACCCATGAAAAGAAAAGGAACAGACACTTCAGAAGGGTTTCAAAATCTAACAAGTGGCCACCTCCCTGCAGAGCAGCTGCTGTCTCCATATTCTTTGTGCATTACATTAGGGGCAAGCATATGGTGCTGAGAGCTGGCACGGAGCACTTCCTTCCCTGCACTGTTCCAGCTCAAAATCTATATGCCAGGAGCAGCCTCCTTGCAGATTGTTCTTGACAATCCCTTGCAGAAGCTGCTGCCTCTGAAACTTCCTGCTGGGCTGCAGCTAAATTTATTTCTCGCTGAATTCTGCGGTTCATGGCACCTGGAAAACAAGGACAGCCCGATGGGGTTACTCTGGAAGGATTCACTGGGAGCAGCTTCAGTGACCCCTCAGAGCATGGAACTGATGCCTTAGCATTTTAGCTTTTGTATTTTCCATCTATTTGTACTCCTGCAGTTCTTTAGTGTGTCACTCCAAACTGCACACCCAGTGTCAGCTGCAGCTTCCCCATTTTGGGCACACACAACAATTCCTCTCCAGGCCTGGCAATCAAGGACACCTCACTGCCCCAGGGCCCAGAGATGGGGACAAAAGGGACTTGGGGGGAGCAAACTTGGGCTCAATGACTTCATTACCTGCAGCTGGGATTGGCAGATGAACCCCCAATGTGCAAATGGACCAAACTGATAAAAGTATAAAAACCTGTGAGCCAGGGTCCATTTTGGGTGTAGGCCCTGTGGGGATTTCATTTGCCCTAAATGTACCTGCAGGCCCTTCAATAAACAGAACTGCTTTTTATTCCCTTAATTCTGCCTGGCCTCTGATTTAGATGGCCCTGACAAGGCATCACTCTAATATTCCTCAATTTAATATTGATTTTAGCAGAGTGGGAACTCTGAACAACCACTGCCATCATTATTTACACTGCTACATTCCTGGCAGTGCTGCTCCCCCATTTATTAACAGGTGCAGCTGGTTTCACAACAAACATCTCTAAAGCCTGACAAATATTCATCATTTGAGTTTAATTAGAGACAGAGTAATGGGCTAGCTGGAAATTCAGAGATGACAAGTGCAAAACCCCAAGCAGAACCCCCAGTATGCAAATGGACCAAACTTATAAAAGTATAAAAACCTGTGAAACATTGTCCATTTGTGGGTTTAGCCCCTGCAGCATTTCATCTGCCCTAAATGTACCTGCAGGCCCTTCAATAAACAGAACTGCTTTTTATTCCCTTAATTCTGCCTGGCCTCTGGTTTTAGGCAGCTCCAACAAGGCACCACAACCCTTGGAAGCGGGAAGAGGGGAAGGCTTTGAGCTGAGATTTACCACAGGGAGCTCCAGCAAGGCCCTTCTGCTCCCCACAGGTCACCTGCAATCTGTTCCATCACCTGCTTGCAAGGGACTGAGCCAGGACCCTCCCCCAGTCATGACCCTTGCAAAATTTTTTCAAACATCTCTCCCAAGCCTTTGGATTATTTCCCCACAACATTTCAACTGCAAGCAGCTACTCACATGCAGAAGAACCCCCTGACAGATGTTTAAAAAGCCCTGGTTACACCCAGCACATCAAAATAGGTTTCTAGGTCAAACTACAGCTGCATTACCAAGGCTTAAAAATACCAATCCAAAGCCAGTATTGACCTGGTACTGAGTTTGGATTACAAAGGGAATTTTCAGAATTGTTGCACTAGGAAATAATTGACTAATAAAAGGTTTTAAGAAGAAAGATAACATTCTGGGCATAACTTAAAGAGGTGATCCAACTTGTAAAATTAGATTAGGAAATAATTCCCATTTTTGTCCTAACTCCATGCTAAACCTCCCTTTTTTCTCTGCAAGAAGACCCAAGAAGTCCTTCTACATTAAAATGTCAGGATTTTCTATATTATCTGAAGCCTTAATTTTTTGTATGAAATTCTCCTGTGTTCTACAGGTTGAACTACTCCTTTAGAATAACAATGACATTAAATATTCTAATTTATTAACATTGAAAATGAGCTTTGCTGGAATACCATATCACTATTGAGTGTTCTATTTCAGCCCAGCATCTCAACAGGAAAACAGAGGAAAACAAAAACTTTTTAAAATTAAATTGCAAAAGATTTCCACTTCATACTCTAATTACTCAAACAAAAGACAAAATGGACCAGGATGCACAGGAATTTTTCTCTGTATAATTAAACATGTTATATGTAAAATTTAAAATAACCAACAAGGTTGAATGCTGCTCAAACCACGTGATATTTTTACTTTTGAATTCCTAATATTGCAAAAAGAACTACTAAAGAACTGTGGTCCTATCAGAGAGATTCCCTGCTACATAATTTAATTTTAATCAATATTTTAATGTAAGACATCTAAAGCAAGATTAAAACCTCCCAATTTATAACCAAATGTTCCAGCTTTTTGCAGATATAGTTTCCTTCAACTGACTTCAAGCTAAAACAACAGAGATTTTGCCTGTTTCTCTTAGAGAAAAGCTGCAAAATGAAAGGGCTGAGTCTTTTTTAGCCAAAGATTAAGAATTGAAAACTTTGCTGGACAAAATAAATTTTCCCATTACAAATTGGGAAACGGTTCCAGAAGCTCTGTTGGTAAGAGGAAGGCAGTGAAATACCAGCCCTCAGCTGGCTGGGAATTTGTGTT